GTCTAGTGTCTCCTGGCCTGATATTCCTCGCATATTGCTAAAAGCAGCATAAAACCCAAATCACTCACTCACTTAGCCCATTCCACTTCACCCCAAAACGGAGACCCGTGAAGGTCCGGTTAGAATGAACCTTCAGTAACCCATGCTTGCCGTAAGAGGCGACTAACGGGATCGGGTAGTCAGGCTCGCTGGCTTGGTTGACACATGTCATCGGTTCCCAATTGCTCAGATCGATGTTCATACTGTTGATCACTGGATTGTCTGGTCCAGACTCTATTATTTACAGACCGCCACCATATAGCTGGAATATTGCTGAGTGTGGCGTAAAACTAAACTCACTCACTCACCAAACCGGACACTGACGAATCGGTTGGTAAGCCTTGGTTTGATGGTTGGTGCATCTCATGGTATCCAAGCGGCATACGCATACAGCGGTGATCATGATGTCAATCACTGAATTGTCTGGCCCAGGCTCAGTTATTTCCAGACTGCGTCATATTGCTGAAATATTTCTGATTTCAACATCTCCTTTATACATAGGGGCGGTCGGGTAGCCTAGTGGTTAAACCGTTCGCTCGTCACGCCGAAGACCCGGGTTCGATTCACCACATGGGTACAATCTGTGAAGCCCATTTCCTGTGTCCCCGGCCGTGATATTGTTAGAATATTGCTAAAAACTGGGTAAAACCATACTCACACCTTTCTACATATAGACTATGAAACACCTAAAGTGCGTAGTTGTGGGATTTTTCGTGACAAATGAATTCATTACTTTCTGAGGAAGTTCTCTCTTTATAGATATGCTCACTTAAATGATTATCAACGTGCGGTTGCGAAGACACGTGTCATTTGTCACCCTCGAATGCCCTGCGAGTTATTTATCCATTCTATTACGTAATACCTTGGACATTGCGTCTTGTCCAGGGGTGGATCCAGGATTTTGGAGAAGGGGTGCACATAAATGGGGGCTGATCACGATAGTTCTAAGCAGTAATTTTGTACAGAATTTCCTTTCGTTTCTCATCCTGAGCTTTGACCTCCTCTGTGGTGTAGTGGTTAGAGCGTCCGCCCGGAGAGCGGAAGGTCGCGGGTTCGATCCCCGACCGCATCATACCAAAAGACGTTAAAATATGGTACTTGTTCGCCCGCTCGGCATTAATGTGTACAGCAAGGACTGGTTGGCTCGGAGTCAGTATAATGTGTCTGAGTGGGGTATTCATGCTAACTGCATGGTATCTCAGTGAGCTAACACTATAAAACCAGCTTCAGTCTGGGCTAGTACAAGCAGCCACACATACACACGCATATACACGTCGTCATATGAGCGAAATATTTTTAAGTACGACGTTAAACCCCATTTCACCTCACCTCATCCTGGGCTTGAAATCATCAGTCAATGAACATGTGTTTCGAACGGTAGGAGAGACGAGTGGCCGAGGATCTACGATTCGGTTAGCCTTGCTCCAAGGCTGTACTGAAAGCTCAGCCAATGGATGTACAGTAATTCTATCCTTTAAACAGGCAAGTCTAGATTAGCGGACATGACTCCAGTCTATCACTTCTCCCAGATGATAAAAGAGGAATATATATACATATATATATATATGTCATTTAGAAATTATCATTTAAACTATTGATTATTACCTAAATATTTATACTTTTGCAAGTCTACGATTCGGTGTGTGAGTGAGTGAGTTAGTTTTACGCCGCTCTCAGCAATATTTCAGCTTATATGGCAGCGGACTGTAAATAATCGAGTCTGGACCAGACAATCCAGGGATCATGAACATCGATCTACGCAATTGGGATACGATAACATGTGTCAACCCAGTCAGCGAGCCTGACCGCCCGATCCCGTTAGTCGCCTCTTACGACGAGCAAGGGTTACTGAAGACCGATTCTAACCCGGACCTTCACGGGGCCATTCGGTGTGTAAAGCTGCGCTTCTTGGGCACGCTTTGAGTTCGAATGTGTACGGAGTACAGTGTTAGACAACAAACAAACACAGGATTGACAAAGAATATTTAGTTTATCTGGCATACACGTTTTCAAGAGTACTGAGATGGACTGGGACGACATAACGGTACATGTCCAGGTTGTCTTTGTGACGGTATGCAACAGTGCAACGCGGGATTGAACTGATCCACAATGCGATATAATCAGATCTGAGATCTGATACGGTTTCACAAAGACCTGAGGACATCCCAATACGGGTCACATCAGAACCACATTTCATCATCAGAGCGTCGCTTATCAGATCAGAAAAGTTACAATCGGAATTTGTTTCGAATCATGCGTCACCCAAAAGGGCTCCCGGAGACAGTACTGGCTGTGTCCGGAACAGCGAGTGAGTATGGTTTTACGCCGCTTTTAGCAATATTCCAGCAATATCACGGTGTGGGAAACCAGGAATGGGCTTCACGCATTGTACCCATGTGGGGTTTCGAACCCGGGTCTTCGGCGTGACGAGCGCACGCATTAACCACTAGGCTACCCGACCGCCCCGTGTTCGTAACAGATTCACAATCATCGCCTGTCTCTCGTTTCTATGGGGTAACCATTTGACCGAAAAGACAGAACAAGGCTCAAAACCCGCAGGATTGTACCATACAATCTCCGCCATGACGTAGACATAGCAGAATGAGCTTTCGTTCAGTGTTTAAATTTTAAACCAAGAATTCAATAAAAATATTTTTCAAGGCATTGTTAATATGGACATGGCCAGTTTGAAAACTTGCTCGTGAAAACTGCTTTTTCATTGGTTAATGTCGACTTCTTTTCTCATTTGTCATTCAAAAGTCGCAATAGGTCTTCGTGACATGCTCCATGAAGGGATGTCCCCAGATCTGTCTTTAGAGGTAGCCTGAACTAGATTTGATTTGTAATTTAGACCTCCAGCTGTCAAGTTTTTCATAACATAGCTAACTGAACTGAAGAATTTCTTTGAACAACAGTTGGCTGCCTGCTTATTTCTTCGACAAATTTGGGATAGCAAAATTGTCAATCGCACTGGGACGAAGCGTGTTTGCTTCGATACGACCTATTCAAACAGAAATTTGGAAACAGTGCAAAGAAACTCAAAACGTCACATGATATTATCATTTTGAACCACGAATCGCCAAATGCTCTGCAGATATAAATTAACTATAAGACTCGGTTGATACTTCCCATATTAAGAAAAACACGGTGATGAATCCTTTATGTTTCACAGTAGTGTTTATACAACGTGGTTTATGTTCCGCAGAGTGTTCTCAAATTTGTTACAGTGTTTCCAAACACATGCAGCGCATTAGCTCGTAGTTGGTTTGGCTTGAGCGGCTCCCCCGGACTCCTGGTGAACTAGCCAACACCGTCCTGCATGTGATATCGTTCTTTCAGCCTACACGTGTGGACGTATCAAATGCCTCGTGATGCCAGCGTGATGCGCCTGGGTTACAGTTGTTTTATTCCGTCTGGGTTACAGTTGTGTCATGGCGTCTGGGTTACAGCTGTGTCATGGCGTCTGGGTTACAGTTGTGTCATGGCGTCTGGGTTACAGTTGTGTCATGGCGTCTGAGTTACAGTTGTGTCATGGCGTCTGAGTTACAGTCGTGTCATCTAGGTTACAGTTGTCTCTGAGTCACAGTTGTGTCATGGCGTCTGAGTTACAGTTGTGTCATGGCGTCAGGGTTACAGTGTCATGGCGTCTGTCATGGTCGGCGTCTGTCATGGCGTCTGGGTTACAGTTGTGTCATGGCGTCTGGGTCACATTTGTGTCATGGCGTGTTGTTGTGTCATGGCGTCTGGGTTACAGTCTAGGTTACAGTTGTGTCATGGCGTCTGGAGTTACAGTTGTGTCGTCGTGGGTTACAGTTGTGTCATGGCGTCTGAGTTACAGTTGTGTCATGGCGTCTGGCAGTTGTCATGGCGTCTGTGTCATGGCGTCTGGGTTACAGTTATGTCATGGCGTCTGGGTTACAGTTATGTCATGGCGTCTGGTTACAGTCTGTGTCATGGCGTCTGGCGTTGGGTTAGTTGTGTCATGGCGTCTGGGTTACAGTTGTCATGGCGTCTGGGTCACAGTGTCATGGCGTCTATACAGTCATGGCATGTCTGGGTCACAGTCGTGTCATGGCGTCTGGCGTCACAGTTACAGTTGTGTCATGGCGTCTGAGTTACAGTTGTGTCATGGCGTCTGGGTTACAGTTGTGTCATGGCGTCTGAGTTACAGTTGTGTCATGGCGTCTGAGTTACAGTTGTGTCATGGCGTCTGGGTTACAGTTGTGTCATGGCGTCTGTCATGGCGTCATGGTTACAGTTGTGTCATGGCGTCTGAGTTACAGTTGTGTCACGTCTGAGCCGTGTCATGGCGTCTGGGTTACAGTTGTTGCATGGCGTCTGAGTTACAGTTGTGTCATGGCGTCTGGTTACAGTTGTCATGGCAGTTGTGTCATGTCAGGGTTACAGTTGTGTCATGGCGTCTGGCGTTACAGTTGTGTCATGGCGCCTGGGTTACAGTCGTGTCATGGCGTCTGGGTTACAGCCGTGGCATGGCGTCTGGGTCACATGGCGTCTGGGTTACAGTTGTGTCATGGCGTCTAGGTTACAGTCGTGTCATTGCGTCTGGCAGTCTGTCATGGCGTCTGGGTTACAGTCGTGTCATGGCGTCTGGGTTGAGTTACAGTCGTCTGAGGTTACAGTTGTGTCATGGCGTCTAGGTTACAGTTGTGTCATGGCGTCTGAGTTACAGTTGTGTCATGGCGTCTAGGTTACAGTTGTGTCATGGCGTCTGGGTCACAGTCGTGCAATGGCGACAAGGTCATAACTGGATCTGCACCGGGTTGACACGTAGTTCATGTGAACATCGAACCATCATCTCTGGTGATAAGACGGGCAACCAAACATGCATATACGCCATAACACTGATGTCTCTGTCATTGCGGCACTATCAACAACCATTGCTGTACATACACAACAATGCATCTCTGTGAAGACATGATCAGAACACAAACGTCATTTGATTGGGTATAAAATATGATTTAACTCGGCTCTGGCAGAAAGTTAATGCAGCAGCGATAGTACATCGCCCACTACCCACAGGTCAAAGTGACCGTACTCCACGACCCACAGGTCAAAGTGACCGTCCTCCATGACCCACAGGTCAAAGTGACCGTACTCCACGACCCACAGGTCAAAGTGACCGTCCTCCATGACCCAATCCTCCACAAATCCAACACCACGACACAAGTACAGCACAGGAACAACTTGACTTTCTATTTCACTGTATCAATCAGGATTTCTTGTGTTAAACGTGCAGCAATGGAAGTTACAGTGTTGCTACAAAGAATCGTACGGTATATTGAATTTGTCGATGACGTACTGACGGTGACAAACAACGTTGCAGTGAGAGTTCAGCATGTTCCCAAAGACTTCTCTAGTCTGTGCCCAGGCAAACGCCATCGCTTGAGTTCTACCATGACGCGTCATCTGTACCCGATCGTGAGTTTCCCTGAACACCGCGTCGGTGAGCCACCACAAAGTATACAAATCTGTAGTTAGGTTAATGTCACGTGACTGCTTGACGTAGGCTTCCAAGAGATGTGTGACGTCGAAAAGAGCGTGCATACGAGGCGGGTCCACTAGCATTGATTTGGTACCCTCGAAGACATCTTCCCAGACGATGTCGTTACTGTCGACAACGTTCTCCATTTCGCGCAAACGAGCACGAGCATTTGGGCTGACCAAAGACAACGCTAAGTCAAAAAATTGATATTCAAAGTCAGGGCCTTCCAATGTTACACGTGCAAAACGGATGCTAAGAGTGGTATGTGTAGATGTCGTATTTTCAGCGTTTCCCGTGGTTGTACCATTCTCATGTTGAAGTTGTTCGCAAACAGCGGGGCAGCTGCGCACTCTAGCCGGAATTGGCGGCGTGAGATACAGAAGTGAAGTCTGAACTGTACACATGATAATCGCTGCCACGAGGGGGAAGCGAAAGGACGTTACGGTCGCCATGATGGTATACTCTGGACCTGAAAGTTAAGATTAAGTATTACACTGACATTTGAAATAAAACTTCGTTGTTACAAGAAGTTTCGGGTGACATCGGCGACATACGTTACCTTTTGCTGGATTTTTCAAAACTTCTGCCACGTATTGACTGTATCCAGCTGGCGTTGTCTTGCCATAAACATTGGTGAACTATGGGCCCCGTGACATGCCTTCTGATAACCCACATTTGCTTCGGTTTATGGGGGACATCCTCAAAAATATTGCTGTCAATATTTATTTAATTCTCCGTTCGGTCGTACCTCAGCTCAGACGTTTCAAGGGCGTCAGACTGAGACAGTCATTTAACACATACCATATGCGTGACCATAACGAACTCAGGAGAGTCCGTGAAGTGTTGTCAGTGAACTTTGCTCATGTTCACTCTTGTCCTGCAAATACCACTGACCATACTGTGTTTGAGAAGCTCCCCAGAGTCGTTGCTCGGCAACTCTGGTTGATAACGGTTGCTTATGGCTTTTCGCTAAACACCTCCGGCTAAAGCGTTACATACCAGTCAAAATTTGCTGAGGATAAATACTTAATACGTCAAATTGTGTGAAATAGTCATCACTGATGCAGACAGATAATATAATCAACAAAAGACAATTGGAATGAGGGGTGGTGGGTTAACCTCGTGGTTAAAGGGTTCGCTCGTCTCGCCGAAAACCCGAGTTCGATTCCCCACATGGATACAATGTGTGGAGCCCATTTCTGGGTCAGTGGGTTAGGAAAGTATCCTCCGTGATGGGAACAGCCTCACGTAGACGATTACGTACTGTGTGTGTTTAGTAAGTGTATAGAGTTCCGCAGGTCATTTGTGATTGTGGTGGCAGTAAAAAAAGAACACACACACGCATACACGCAAAAACAAAAAAAAAACCCCACACACCGCGTCTTTATGCATGCAGGTCCGGGGTAGAATAGGTCTTCAGCAACCCATGTGCTTGCCATAAAAAGGCGACTATCTTGTCGTAAGAGGCGACTAACGGGATCGGGTGGTCAGTTTCGCTGACTTGGTTGACACATGTCATCGGTTCCCAATTGCGCAGATCGATGCTCATGCTGTTGATCACTGGATTGTCTGGTCCAGACTCGATTATTTACAGACCGCCGCCATATAGCTGGAATATTGCTGAGTGCGGCGTAAAACTAAACTCACTCACTCACTTATGCATGCAGGAGAAGAAACCCTTTTATTCCCATTTTTTTTTTAAAACCAGTCTTACTGTTCTGAGGCGGAACGCTGTGGACCACCTAGCTGCAGTCGCTAGATACCTGGTCTCGAAGTCATACCATTATGACCACGCACGGTTTGGTACTCAACAACACGTCTGCGATGTGACGTTGTCTGACCAAGTTTCAAGCATTTTGATGGATCTGCCTAAACTTGAGACGCTGTGAGGGCATAATGGCATATCCGGTGGTTGCCATACTCTGTATCGAATGTTATGCTCTCTGATAATAATGTGCAAGAATCAAAGAATACATCCAAAGGCAAATAGGCCTGAATACATCGTTTTAGTGAATTTTCCGAGAAGGGAATTTGCAATTATGCGTTCCACTTTTGGCCGGCCGGGTACAGCGGCCCTTGAACCCGGCATCTCAAATTTGTTTGTTCTCTGGGGGTTGGAATCTCTGCTATCGTGCGAAGTGCCTATTTTTGCCTGAACAATAATAATGTGTCCATATATAGCGCCAAACTCCACACCAGGTATTCTCATAGCACTAACAGTCATAGCACAGCACATTATTACCCGGATAACCCAAGCTGCCTGTTAGGCGCTATGGAAGGCCATAGTCAGATGGCGTATCTCACCCCACCGGGTACCCATTTTCTGCTGGGTAAACAGCATATCTAGGCGGATCCAGAAATATCCAAGGGGGGTCAGGGATTTCAAACCCCTTGAACCCTACTATTTTCAAAGGCCCGCCTTCTTCCCCACACCACACACCACACACACACACACACACACGCCTGGATCCGCCAATGCGATCAGGTACAGATGACACGTAACGGTAGAACTCAGGCAATGGCGTTTGCTTAGCTGGACACAGGCTAGAGAAGTATTTTTTTGAACAAACTCGTTTGCCTGAGGTGAGTCCACATGTTTCACATGTGCTTCGTTGTGGGGCAGGACTGGAGTCCTAAACACCCTCTCAGGAGTCAATTTAAGCTGCCAAACACGGTCACCCATCGAATGACTCTCCGTGCCCAACGTTGCTTCTATATAACAATCCTGGGGCGGTGGGGTAGCCTAGTGGTTAAAGCGTTGGCTCGTCACGCCGAAGACCCGGGTTCGATTCCCCACATGGGCACAATGTGTTAAGCCCATTTTCTGGTGTCCCCCGCCGTGACATTGCTGGAATATTGCTAAAAGCGGCGTAAAACTAAACTCAGTCAGTCAGTCACACAATCCTGGTTGCGACCACACACCACCTCAATGAGGTTCCTTTACTGTGAATATCATAGATACCAAATATTGTGGGAAGGTATTTTAGGTAAAACTGTTTCGCGGGCGATATAAATTTCGAAACTAATATTGTAAGCAAAGCATTATTTCAACCTGTCTGTTGTTGTGTAGCCCGGAGCCAACGGACATGTGGATGTTTATAAATAGACTACTTTCTTTTTTTCAACCAATGAAATAAGGAAACAGCTTAAGTGCGTAGCTATTGTATACCTCAACAGAGAAACTTCCGCTTGTTGACTTGACGAAGGCGGAGAGTCAAAATGGGAAAGAAACAGCACCAGAAAGATAAACTGTGAGTATATTATGGTGTCATGGCACTAACATAATTCATAGAACCACAGGATACTTATTGTAACATTTTGTTGTTTGACCACACAGAGGATTCGTCACGCATCCTACACGGACAACGTTTGTTCATATTTCGATCACACCTTTGTTGACAGGTACCTGACCACCACTGAGTGGAAGAATGAATGGGGTGGCTACAAGGGGAAACAGAACGCTGGACAGAATGCCAGATTTCGGAGATTACCATTTCATAGCTGCAGGTATGTGCACCAAGTTTCAATTGTGTAAGTGAACACAAACCAGTCCAATGCTGGCATCAGACTGGCGGTTCTACTGCCACTGGGGTTTGTGGAATGGAGACCGAGAATTTTATGATTAAAACTAACCTCATATACATTAATTTTTGTCTTTTTTTGACAGATGAAAACAAATAACCTCATGAATCGTCACATGACTTTCCATATAAGTAACTACGTACCACTAAAAATATAGCTTTGTCTGATGATTTTAAGGGTGGTCACCCATTTTGTCCTGAGGAGTGGGGAGGGGTCATCAATGTTGTACACATGAATAAGGGTGGGGTGGGGGTTGTCTGGGTTGTCACTCTAGCTATGTCATTGCATAAGCCCAACGATGGTGAGAGTTTCCAGTAGTTGTATAATCGGTGGATGCGCAATATTTTGCAAGCACCAGTTTGAAATATTTTTCTTTTTTCACTAATACGCTCATATTTATTTGTATTACGGGGTGCTGAGGTGTTATGTTTTGTGTATTATTGTATTTTGTATGTTTTAAATTTACATATATATTTTTGTCATTCAGTAATTTGCATCATTACATAGAATGGTTTTTTATTAGTAGGTGTATTATATTTTTCGAAGCGGTAATAATGCATTACACTGGACACGTCAGTCATGTTTGTGCTGGTTCGGTCAATGCATTCTATTTATTAGGATTATTTCAAGAAATTAGGGTTAGGGCTGAGGGGTTAGGGTTAGGGACCTAATCCAATATAGTAGGTACATGTCCGGTGTAATACGTGAGTACCATTTGTTGTGTTTCCTTTTGCATTTTAATACTTTTTTTCACACAAAAACGGGAAACAAAAGCATCGAAAGTACACTATGAAATGGTTTAATGTAGAAATTTTGGGCTAATGGAAATTGGCCTGAAATTTGCACTCAAGCCTCTTTCACACGCAACATTTGTTCAGTAATGATTCGAAGGCTAACTCGCCCTCGTGCCGTCACTACACATGCTCATGTCTCCCTCGTTCCTTAGTGCGAACCACATTATCCTTACAGTGTTCCCTACATCACTTTTCTGTCACAAAATCAAAAGCGCGTCATTCATGCATGCACCGTGAAATCTACGTCTGACGCCTGACGTCAACAACCCTTTTCAGTTTGAGGCATATCGGCTCATTCCACGCCACACGTTATCTTGCAGATTACGGAATGGGACGAAGTGTGCCAAATGGCATCGGATCCATTCGGCAATTGTCCATAGATAAAAATCATGAGACACCAAGTCTACCCGTAGCATTCGTAATTGTCCGTGACGTATTCGACTCTTTCCGTTCATTTCCGTGACGTCACAGGAATGACTCGATAAATTTGCACATTGTGTAACAGTGTGGACGTAGCTCAGTCGGTTAGCTGTCGAGCTAACAATCTGAAGGTCGCGGGTTCGCATCCGACGGGTTCCCACAAACTGGTTGCTTGTCTTAATGACACGTGACCTACGGCAGAGATCGTCCTCGCGAGAAGTGCTGTATTCTAAAGGTGCTCCCCAAGTTGAGTGTTGAATATGAAACAGTAATATTTGTTAGGAAATGTTCAAAGTTTTGTACACATCAAAAAGTTTATTTTCATGTCTATACTTATGTTTCAGCCTGTCTCTGCAGCCATTTGAACATCCTCTGTGTACAAAGGAAGGAATCATTTTTGACCTGATGTAAGTTTTTAAGACAGAAACAGATAACTGATGCAAATTATGAATAGCATCCTGTTGGCCATGTAATGTGCATGGTTATGTCATCATTGTAATAGTTACGCTTCCAATGAATTCATTATGACGCAAATGTGATGCATATTTAAATATTGTACATTGAATACAATAACAAGTCATCAGTTGATGTATTATTCATTATATTCGGTCAAATTAAGGCAAAAAATTCTTTGGATTGTTTTGACCAGTGGTAATATGATTGGGTTTGTTTTGTGTCTATTCAGGAACATCTATCCTTTCTTGAAGAAGTATGGAGTGAGCCCTGTCACTGGAGAGGTTTGTACTAACAGGGATAATTGCTTATATTTTGTCTGTACATCCTGATAAAAACAATAAGCTGCTTCAGCTGGACTTATAGAGTGAGCCTTGGCTTTTCTGTTTGGACAGATTAGTCATGGCATGCAGAGAATGGAAACTGAGGTTTGAGATGAATGTTACAGAAATCTATACATGTTGCCAGGCCATTGAAATTACCTCCCTTGCGAGGATCTTGAAAACAGTTGCATGATGGCATCAACATGATCTAATAAGGATTTCATGGATATCTCCCAAGTACACAGTGCTACTACACCACCAGTTCGATAGTAATACAGGGGCTGATCCATAAGTGGGGTGCGCATCCACCCTCTCCCCCGAATTTTTTTTCCATGAGGAGCATTTCCCTAACCATGCTAACCTTTGGACTTCATGGTTCATGTGCACCTCCCCCACTTCTCGTAAATCCTGATCCGCCCTTGTAATGCATACCTGACAACTAATCATTGTCAAAACACAGTGTTATGAACTTGTACTAAAATTGTAGAAAAACATTGTAATAAGACATTGTTCAGTGATAAATTACTCTGTACTGTACACAATTAAGTTTGTGTAAATTACAAGTCGGAGTGAAGTTTATTTTAAAATATCAAATCTGACAACATATCTCCTTCAATGTGTTTAATATATAATTGTGTTTTTTACTGAATTAAATCATTTACATGTGAAAAAATATGTTTGTGTGCAAGAAAGAACTTAGTTTCCTGTTTGTAATATTTAATCTCATCTTGACAAATTTCAGTAGCCATGATTATGTACCACTGTTTGTTATTAAATGACAGGGTGCGATTTCGCTATTTACAACCTGCACTAGTGTATGTTAACAATGGCTGGTGCAGGTAACCTTCAGTAACAGGTTGTACCCGGTGCAGGTTACCTTCAGTAACAGGTTGTACCTGGTGCCGGTAACCTTCAGTAACAGGTTGTACCTGGTGCCGGTAACCTTCAGTAACAGGTTGTACCCAGTGCAGGTTACCTTCAGTAACAGGTTGCACCGGTGCAGGTAACCTTCAGTAACAGGTTGTTCCTTCAGGTGCAGGTAACCTTCAGTAACAGGTTGTACCCGGTGCAGGTTACCTTCAGTAACAGGTTGCATCCGGTGCAGGTAACCTTTAGTAACAGGTTGCACCCGGTTGCAGGTAACCTTCAGTAACAGGTTGCATCCGTGCCGGTAACCTTCAGTAACAGGTTGTACCTGGTGCAGGTAACCTTCAGTAACAGGTTGTTCCCGTGCAGGTAACCTTCATTAACAGGTTGCACCCAGTGCAGGTTACCTTTAGTAACAGGTTGTACCCGTGCAGGTAACCTTCAGTAACAGGTTGTTCCCGTGCAGGTAACCTTCATTAACAGGTTGCACCTGGTGCAGGTAACCTTCAGTAACAGGTTGCACCTGGTGCAGGGTAACCTTCAGTAACAGGTTGCACCCGGTAACCTTCAGCAGGTAACCTTCAGTAACAGGTTGCACCCAGGTGCAGGTAACCTTCAGTAACAGGTTGCACCCGGTGCAGGTAACCTTCAGTAACAGGTTGCACCCGAGCAGGTAACCTTCAGTAACAGGTTGCACCCGGTGCAGGTAACCTTCAGTAACAGGTTGCACACGTTGCAGGCAGGTAACCTTCAGTAACAGGTTGCACCCGGTGCAGGTAACCTTCAGTAACAGGTTGCACCCGAGCAGGTAACCTTCAGTAACAGGTTGCACCCAGAGCAGGTAACCTTCAGTAACAGGTTGCACCCGTGCAGGTAACCTTCAGTAACAGGTTGCACCCGAGCAGGTAACCTTCAGTAACAGGTTGCACCCGGTGCAGGTACCTGGTGCGGGTAACCTTCAGTAACAGGTTGCACCCGTGCAGGTAACCTTCAGCAGGTAACCTTCAGTAACAGGTTGCACCGAGCGGTAACCTTCAGCAGGTAACCTTCAGTAACAGGTTGCACCCGTGCAGGTAACCTTCAGTAACAGGTTGCACCCGGCGCAGGTAACCTTCAGTAACAGGTTGCACCTGGTGCAGGTAACCTTCAGTAACAGGTTGCACCCTGGGTGCAGGTGTAACCTTCAGTAACAGGTTGCACCCGCGGAGTACCCTTCAGTAACAGGTTGCACCTGGTGCAGGTAACCTTCAGTAACAGGTTGCACCCGCAGGTTACCTTCAGTAACAGGTTGCACCCGTGTGGGTAACCTTCAGTAACAGCTAACAGGTATCACCTGGTAACAATAAATCCTCCAACATCTTATAGCTGTCATCATGTGTTTTGATTGGGTGGTGACTGGAAGTAGTGTGTTTCTCTCCACATGACTTGTTACAGCATTAACATTTGTGTACTGATACTGCTACGTAGCAGTAATCATATAACTGAGATTTATATAGAGAGGTATTGCAAAATTGAAACAGAATCATTCATCATTTATCGTCATGGGGTCAGGTTCTGTTGAATGTATCTGATGCTGAGTACTTGTAATAAAAATTGCTAATATAGTATCTTTGTTGATTTTTGGAACTAGTGACATTATTTTATGGTGCAGCCAAAATTTTGATGGTGCACCCAAACCTAGAAGCCAGGTTGCACTCAGTGTAGGTACTGAAAAAACCCAAACCTATAAGCCAGGTTGCACTCATTGTAGGTACTGAAAAAACCCCAAACATATCTGAAAACGCACCCTGAATGATTTATTCCAGCATCAGTAATTCTTTCTTAATGTGACTCCAACTTACCCTTGACTTCTGTTTTAAGAAAATGACCTCCAAGGATCTGACCAAGCTGACATTTCACAAGAATTCTCAAGGTAAATCTCATAGAGCTTGACAAGTTGGCTGTTGTTAAATGCCTCAAGCAGATATTCCGCCTGGAGAGCAGAAGTTTGCGGGGTTGATCCCTGGCCGCATCATACAAGTACCAAAACATGGTACTTGTTGGTCCCTGCCTGGAGCTCCCTGCCTGTGTCAACAAGTTGTATGATGTGTTCCCCACTGACAGATTGTACAATGTGTTCCCTACAACAAGTTGTATGACATGTTCCCCACTGACAGATTGTACTGACATGTGTTCCCTACAACAAGTTGTATGACATGTTCCCAACTGACAGATTGTACAATATGTTGCCCTACAACAAGTGTGTCTGTTCCCCGTTCTCCTAACTAATTGTACAATGTGTTCTGCAACAACTTGTACAATGTGTTCTCTACAACAATGTGTGTATGAAGTGTATGATGTTCCCCACTGACAGATTGTACAATGTGTTCCCTACAACAAGTTGTATGATGTTGTTCCCCACTGACAGATTGTACAATGTGTCTCCTACAACAAGTGTGCCTACAACAGCAGGATGTGTTCCCCACTGACAGATTGCATGTGTTCCTAGCAATGATTTACTGACAGATTGTACAATGTGTTCTTCTACAACAAATTGTATGATTTGTTCCCCACTGACAGATTGTACAATGTGTTCCCTACAACAAGTTGTATGACATGTTCCCCACTGACAGATTGTACAATGTGTTCCCTACAACAAGTTGTATGATGTTCCCCACTGACAGATTGTACAATGTGTTCCCTACAACAAGTTGTATGATGTGTTCCCCACTGACAGATTGTACAATATGTTGCTCTACAACAACGATGTATGTCCCCACTGACAGTTTGTACAATGTGTTGTACAACAAAGTATATGTGTGTTCCCCACTGACAGATTGTATGTTCCAATGTTGTTCCCCACTGACAGATTGTATACAATGTGTTCCCTACAACAAATTGTATGATTTGTTCCCCACTGACAGATTGTACAATGTGTTCTTCTACAACAAATTGTATGATTTGTTCCCCCACTGACAGATTGTATAATGTGTTCTTCTACAACAAATTGTATGCCATGTTCCCCACTGACAGATTGTACAATGTGTTCCCTACAACAAATTGTATGATTTGTTCTCCACTGACGGATTGTACAATGTGTTCCCTACAACAAGTTGTATGACATGTTCCCCACTGACAGATTGTACAATATGTTGCCCTACAACAAGTTGTACGAAGTGTTCCCAACTGACATATTGTACAATGTGTTCAACTACAACAAGTTGTATGATGTGTTCCCCACTGACAGATTGTACAATGTGTTCTTCTACAACAACTTGTATGATGTGTTCCCCTTCAACTAATTGTACAGTGTGTTCCCCTGCAACAACTTGTGCAATGTGTTCCTCACTGACAGATTGTACAATGTGTTCTTCTACAACAAATTGTATGATTTGTTCCCCACTGACGAATTGTACAATGTGTTCCCTACAACAAGTTGTATGACATGTTCCCCACTGACAGATTGTACAATGTTTTCCCTACAACAAGTTGTATGACATGTTCCCCACTGACAGATTGTACAATGTGTTCCCTACAACAAGTTGTATGACATGTTCCCCACTGACATATTGTACAATATGTTGCTCTACAACAACTTGTACGATTTGTTCCCCACTGACAGTTTGTACAATGTGTTGCCTACAACAAAGTATATGATGTGTTCCCCACTGACAGATTGTACAATGTGTTCCCTACGACAAATTGTTCCCCACTGACAGATTGTACAATGTGTTCCCTACAACAAATTGTATGATTTGTTCCCCACTGACAGATTGTACAATGTGTTCTTCTACAACAAATTGTATGATTTGTTCCCCCACTGACAGATTGTACAATGTGTTCTTCTACAACAAATTGTATGCCATGTTCCCTACTGACAGATTGTACAATGTGTTCCCTACAACAAATTGTATGATTTGTTCTCCACTGACGGATTGTACAATGTGTTCTTCTACAACAAAGTTGTATGATTTGTTCCCCACTGACAGATTGTACAATGTGTTCCCTACAACAAATTGTATGATTTGTTCCCCTACTGACTGATTGTATAATGTGTTTCCCCTACAACAAATTGTATGGTTGTGTCCCCACTGACACCCCAATAGAAGGATTTGTTCCCCACTGATTGTACAATGTGTTCCCTACAACAAATTGTATGATGTGTTCCCTACTGACAGATTGTACAATGTTTGTACGGACAAAAGTATATGATGTGTTCCCTACTGACAGATTGTAAGATTTGTTCCGGACTGACGGATTGTACAATGTGTTCAACTACAAAAAGTATGATGTGTTCTCCTACAACAAATTGTATGATGTTTTTTCCACTGACAGATTGTTCAGTGTGTTCCCCTACAACAAATTGTATGTGTTCCCCACTGACTGATTGTAAGATGTGTTCCCCACTGACAGATTGTTTTACAATCTGCCCTCCTTGTTTCAGGCCGCTACCACTGCCCGGTCACCTTTAGGATCTTCAATGAGAACACCCACATAGTTGCCATCAAGACCACAGGCAATGTTTATTCCTATGAGGTAAAACTACAACTTACCTTCATCAACTTCCCCTTATCCATGAGGGCCTCCAAATGCTGGGAATCTGCATTAAGCAGGACATGCTTTGTGTTAACAGAATGTAGTTTTAGTTTGAAGACAGACACTGGACTAGAATTAGGCCATTTTGCTGATGCAGTTACCGTGGTTACAGTTTCATGATTCTCTGTAGCAACAGTTCATTTATTCTCTCGACATATATATGATCACCATGATCACATTGGCATTTCGTGACTTTTTGCAATGTTTAGAAAAAATTAAGAATACAGGAAAATATGTTTCCAATGTGAACACCAATATTTTGAGAAATTTTATCTCACCGTTTAATGGTACTTTGTTAGATCCTGATCTTATATCAAGTTCATGTGGAGGGTTTACCATGACTTACAAAAGTGTGATTCCAGGGGACCCCCATTAATACTGACTGTCTGACTGACTGAGTTTAGTTTTACGCCGCTTTTACCAATATTCCAGCAATATCATCGCAGTAGGGGACACCAGAAATGGGCTTAACACATTGTACCCATGTGGGGAATCGAACCCGGGTCTTCGGCGTGACGAGCCATCACTTTAACCTACCCCCTAGGCTACCCCCCCCATTAATAAATTTTACTGGTCCTTGTTGGTGATATCCTTTAAAGTATTGAAATGGTGCAGTGTAGTGTATGTTCAGATAATGATTTCGGAACCTGGAATGCATCAGTGGATGTGTGGACAGGGGTCATGACTGATAGGTGAAATAACAGATTCAGATGACTAGGGCTGTAATGATGCATTGAAATATCAACGGATTGCAATTGTTGAGTCTCTGATAGCAATGAATCGATGGTACAAATGAAAAGCTATCGCTGCGTCGATAGTATGTGTAACTATCGATAGTTTAGTAATTGACTTCCATTGATAAATGTGCAATGCAAAATACAGGAAGTACCAGATTTGTTCACTTTGATTTAGAGTTATCCGCCCCTGTTAACGTTTACTTGATCTGGGTTTCAAGTTTCTTGTCAGCTGTTAAAGGTCACATGCAACGTAAAACACAACTTTGCAGATTCTGATACCTTTCGGTATGGACTTACCGAAACAAATCATCAAAAATGCAATTTCAACTTATAAAGTTGAAAAATAACACGATGAAAAAAACTGCGCGAAATCGGAGTTCAAGCGATTCACTAATTTTCCCCAAAATTTCTGGGGAAAACTGGTTTCAACAACTGGGCTCGCTCATAGCATGTGCGCCAAGTGAAATGGGTTCCGCGCACTAACTTAGGCGGGCTGTCTGGTGAATACCGATGAAGGCTTTGGTGTGAGCTATTTTCCTAATGTTTTGTTGATATCTCACGGTAGCGAGCTTTTTATATGTTATGACAGTAAATAAACTGTTTATATAATTTCATTTGTCTATTTCACCACCGTTCTTCTTACCCGAGTCACTTTCTCAGTTCGATACTTAAAAGCAATGTCATTATTTAGCATTGACAGAATTTCTAACTGTGATATAGATATCAATGGATTGTCACAGACAAAACTCAATGTCTTGTTTTATTGACACCTGTGTGTCTGCCTGCCTGTCTGCTAATGACAATATTCAATACACAACTGCGATCACTGACCACATGCAATTTGAACTTAGCATGCCAATCAGGCTATACACCATAAAACAAAAGCGCGATTGATTTATGGCTGAAGTTCGACCTCTGTCACATTATGTGATTACACAGAAGAGCAGGTGTGATACTTGAACACATGACATGTTATGATGTCTGTTGATTGCAAAATGTTATACACCAAAATGAGCATGTGTTTACAAAACCCAACATCTCTATATATACAAACAACAAAGAGCCGTGACGGTCGGCATCTGCAAATGAATCAGCCATTTCACTTGAGTGCACACCCACCCGCTCTGACTGGGTTCGGCATCCCGGCTGCTTTGTTTAGAGGGAGGTAAACCCAAGTACAAAATATTGCACTTTTGATTTGCAATTATACGCTTATAATTTTGTTTATATGTTTTTTCATAATCAGCAATGCATATTATATGTCATGAATAAGTGATAATTGTGTTTTAATTATGTTTGATTTTTTGGTTGCATGTGACCTTTAAAAGAGACTGAAACTACTTCAACTTGTTTTTATTTACTATTAACTATACATTCATTTGGGAAATGACTTCAAATGAGGCAATTCAATCAGAGTTGGTCGCAATAGACTATCGTTGTCACAATAGTTGTTTCCCCCTCTATAGTCACCCCTACAGATAACTACTCTTGATGCGCTGTAGGGTACGTTCTTGGTATTTTTGTGCATCTCTTCAGATGCAGTATTTGGATTTTCTGAGCCCGTTCTCTACATTTGTCCATTACTGGCCACACGTGTACATCCTGTATGTGTTGTGTTTCAGGCTGTGGAGGAGACTGAATCTAAAAGTGTCCAACCTTCGAGATCTGCTGACTGACGAGCCGTTTACAAGGAAGGATATGCTGACCATCCAGGTAGGAAGCCAGCAGCGAATGTGTTACATTATGTAAATGTGTACATTATGAAACGGTATACCGCGGTATTTTGCCTTCGGTTCGGTTTACCGTAATGCAATTTCAAAACTTCACTTTTTTCTGGACCACCGGAATTTGCTGTACAGAGTAGTGTGCCTTAGTCATGCTGGATCCAGTTTGAATCCAAGTTTGGTAATGTTTATAGATTTGTAACCATGCCACTGCTTGTCAGCTTCTGTATAGTAAAAGTTTAACAATGTTAAAGGGTTATTGGGTAGCCTAATAGTTAAAGCGTCAGCTTGTCACGCTGAAGACCTGGGTTCGATTCCCCACATGGGTACAATGTGTCAAGCCCATTTTTGGTGTGATATTGCTGGAATATTCACTCACTCACTCTAGATTGTAGTGGCAAAAGGCATTGGCTATAGACAAATAGCATTGGGACATTTTCAAATGTTCTCAACTTTTGACAGACACTCTTCTATATCACTGGCAAATTTGGATAAATTCACAAGGACATTCTTTTTCAGAAGAAGTCCTCCTTGGGGTACATATAAGCATTAAAATGTCCATTTTAAATCCTACGACAGTTGTAACTATATTTTTAATAAAATATTTACAAAACAAAAACTCGCGTTTGTCTTGTGAGACCACCCCTACAGGGCCCACACGGACCAACACAATGCCAAGAGCAGAGTAACTTCCGCCAGTTTCTACCCTCGTCACCTCACTTTTCATGCTGTCGTTCTGTTGAATGAAGGCGTGCGTGGTGTTAGATTCAGTTTGCTCTCCCACCGATCACGATGAGTGTAAAAGAGTCTCAATCTGTATGTATGGTTCCTTTGCCTTTCTCTCTACACGCGCCGGCGTTAGATGGGCGTCATATGTGGATATTTTTCATTCATCTTTTGTTGTAACTTTGCCGTGGGTTCTCTGTTTTCCAGCCATGTGTAGCAGGCAAAATGGCGGACCGCCTTTGATCGTGGTTTCCTTGCTATATGTTCAGCGGTAGCGCGTAGTAGGGAGTTCATATATTTATGTTTTGCATATGCATATTATATGGTAGGCTTGCCTAAATTCTCTTTCTTTTCAGCGAATTTGTGGTAAGTCGTTGTTGGTAATTTTGATGGTGTTAGTGTTTAAGGTATCACTCAACTTTACTCTATCACTATGCCAGGCAGGGGTATTAGCTTTTTTTCTGCTTTGCATTGTAGGCGTTCTTAGTATTTTGAAATGGCTGTAGCTTTGTGGCATTTATATATCGCCGGATTATTCTTGCTATTACTTGTGTGTTTATGTGTTTGCTGCTTCACAGTTCCTGCTGTGTAACACTGGCATGGTTCTGTTTGTTGCAGTTTTAAAGCCCTGTCGCGTTGTTGCCATGCACACTAACCGCCACAGGATGGTTATAAAGTGTTAGCCCTCCGGAAGTTTAGCGAGGACGCTCCGCGGCATTCAGGATGCTCATAATAAAAGCCTAGCCCAATATTCCGTATTAGCATTATGTTGTATTATGATACATATTATTTCATACGTTTACACAAATATGGCTCATAGGCGAGGGTTGTGTTTTTATGTCTGGGTTTCTGCCTCTCGCGGCGCATTCTTTCCGACTTTCGCCAGATTTTATGTTTTCACTCAATCTGGCTTCAGGATGGATAATATTGATTAAAGGTTTCACAAGGAACTCCCTTTATGGTCCCCGCAAAACAATGTTAACTGACTTAAATATGACTCAATTTGCTTCACTATTGCAGCAACATATTCTTCAACATAATGTCAATTCGATGATTGATGGCGATGTCCGGCCCCGTGGGAAGCTTGGCTCAACAAAGTGTTGATCTCGAAGGTAAAAGTTCACCAGGTGTCGAGTCTGTGGTGAAATTCCGCCCGATTGACACGGGTGTTGTCTCCAGGTTCCGCATAAGGAGCTCTCAGCACGTTTCGTCGGGGGTGGATCGGGCAGCATCTGGGGGTTGGCTGCGGCAACTTGCTCTGCTCGAGGAAAGCTCTGCCTCCCAGGCAGCTTGATCCCTGGCCCGGCTCAGGTGATGGTGTGCCTTCCGGCTGCCGCAGCGACACCTAGCCGGGCTCAGGTTCGCCGCGAGTATGGCGCCCGGCGGTCTGCAGTTTGCCCTGTCTTGCGCCTGGTGCCCTGACTTCGGCGGTCGCCCTGAGGCGCCTGAACCAGCTTCGAGGGACACCTGGCCTTCTGCACCTTGTGGCGACTAGCTTCGGGCTCAGGGTTCGCCAATGGGCCTGGCGCGGCGATGCAGGTTTTACCGCCTGCAGGTTTTGCCCTGGTGCCTGACTGGCGGTCGTGCCCAAGCCGACCTCACTTCGGGGACACCTCGGCGCCGATCGTCAGTCGAGGTTGCCAGGGAAACCTGTAATATATCGACAGGTTCCTCTCGGCTCCTAGGTCTACCTGTGTCCACCAGGGGCAGCCTGCATTGCCAGGCTACTCCCCTTGTGTGTCGGGGACTGCAGATCGGACTAAGCACCGACCTGCCGCCCCGGTATCGATGCGGAGCAGATCCCCGGCGCCAGTTAGCTCAGGTCTCGCCTGATGTCTATCGGTTCCCTGGCCAAGAGGCCGTTGAGTGTGACGAGCTGCCGATCACCGACGCCGAGGTCTACCGCGGTACACCCAGGGAGCCCTGCATTGTCAGGCCAATTCCATGTGTTGGGGATCGGGTAGAACTCGAACCTTGCGACCGAAGCACTGACGATACATATGTACGTGTATGGGTATTTATATAGCGTATAGGCTATGTTTGACTATACGGCTCAGTGTGCTTTGGAGAGTACTTGGGGAAACCTGATTTATCAGGCTACCTACGTGTCACCGGGATCGAGGTTCGGTCTAGAACAGCTGAGCTTCACTCTGGCGATTGAACCCGTTGGTAGCTGACCCAGCCGGCACTGGTAGGGCGCGAGATTCCCCTTTCCGGTAGTTCAGGTCTCGGCCGGTAGTTCAGGTCTCGACCTGATGTCTATCGGCGTATTGACCTAGATGCCATCGAAGGTGCGGGTGTGACTGTCACCCGCTTACGCCCATCGAGGTCTGTCTGAGATGCTTGTGAAACCTTGATTGTCAGGCTTCTCACATGTGCCTTTTCCGAATCGGGAGTTCAGGCTCGTGCAGTGGTGAGAAGTCGATTTGAGCTTAGGCTCATTTAAGCTACTTTGAACTTACCACTAAGTAGGTTCTCCCTGGGGGCAAGTCGCGAGATAGAATCGCGGCTGTGTTGCCTCCAGGTGTCCATAATGTCGACTACCAAGCCGTTGGAGTTAGCCTCGAGGTACCTGCCTGCTTCCGCGCCGCGGCATCCGGGACAAAACCACTCTCCCTTAAGTCTGCCGTTCTTTTCCTTCACAGCTCAGCGGCTGTACATGCTCCACTTCGGCGCATCTCTCAGCTGCTGCTGAGGGAGCTGGTGGAAAGGGGAGAGAGCCGGGTGGAATTTTTCGTCGGCGACTCTGGGCGCATCTGACGGGGGCAACTCTCATCTGGCTAGGGACTGCATTGTAGCTGTGCCAGTCAAATGATGAGGGCGGTTATGGGCATATCGCCGGGACAGTTTCGAAGGAATACCGAAGTCTGTTGAGCTTCGCTACTTCCTCAGGTGCCCAGGCATCGCAAGCGTTAAAGTTACGCGGGCGGACTGCTGGGAGTTACTATATTCTACCGCGAACACCGGCGGGCGACACACTCCTGTGTCGGCTTCCCCGGAGACGGCGACAATACCCGCGCTCCAGAATCCAGTCTTTGCTGGGCTAGGGCAAACCAGTGTGGTGGTTTCCAATGGTCAGGAATATGTGGGTTTGACTCCACTTATTTCATAGTTGCCATTCTGAACGGAATGTTCAGACCCATTCTCATCTGAGAGTGAACAAGTTTATAGAGGTACTGTCCTTCAAGATGGAGACACCGCCATTGCGGTGATCTCATCTGCCGAGACAGGGGATTGGCGAGACGCCAATCGACCTCGAGGTCGCTGCACCTCCTTGTTCCATTTGCACCCTGATTTCAAGATTTACCTTCGGTTTCTTGTTTGACGGACGCGCGCTACCAGTTTCTTCGCGGTAACTCTCCTTAGGCTAAGCATTCACGTGCCAAGGGTGTTCACCAAATTGAGGTTTATTACAGCTCAGATAGCCAGATCGCGAGTGCGGTGTTGTCACATTACATAGGCGACTGACTCATCGCGGGTTTCAGATAACTGTTGAGTCTTGGGACCACACCAGATCAGTTACTGAAACTGGGCTGGAATTGTCAACCTCACGCAGTCAGATGGACAGACGTCGAAGCGTCTCGAGGTCCCCACCCTGGAGACACCGTCGCTTCAGTCCAGCCAGATACATCCCCTACCGGTTAGGGCGATGTTCTGGGTGACCTGCAGCTCTCGAGACGGTCAACAACCTGCACATCAATGTGCTGGAATTGACAGCAGTCAGGTTGGTGTTCGATCCATGCGCCGATTAGAATTACCTCTTCGCCGAACATTCTCACTCTGCAGCCACACGAATCACCGGATTCACTGGGTGGCTCTATCGTGGAGTATAACACACGGAATTCCTGCAACCGTTGCAGACACAATTCTGCCTGGGATACGAATACCACGCTCAGTGTGTTGATAGGTGGGCGCTGGTGTGCAGATAGGGATTTCATAATCCCTATTCTGCGGACTTAGTTCGGATATTGGAGTTACCTATAACCTCCATGGCTATTTCCACGTTTCACACCTGGCTCGATGGTGAAAATTGCTCTAGCCTGAGCAGCATCTATTATTATCGCGTCGTAGCTGGCATGAATAGGGTTCGACCGCCTCAAAGTCGGCGACCAGCCCCACCTTAAAATTGCCACTTATTCACAATTGGCTGTCTGACCACTAATTTTCAAGTATATCGTCTCTCCTTCACTTGTTGGCGTGGAAGACGACTTTACTTGTTGTGGTGAACTCTGGTAGAAGGGTGGGATACATCCATCGCGATTCCCACTGACTTATGACCGACAGTATTTTTATACTTGATCATGTCCGTATTCGACTCGGATACCTACCACTCTCAGTCGATATTGCTTTCCGCGTGACTGCTCATATAGCGCTTCCACTACTTCAGCCTTCCCAGCTTTTCGGGGACCAATCTTCGATTGCTCACCCGCGCTCGTCACTTAACCTAACAAAGGGATCCGTATCGGGTACCCATGTGCTGCTTTGGTGGCGGGAAGACTGGGGAGTCTGCTAGCAAGCGCACTTTATCTCGTTGGCTTTGTTTCCGTATTGTATGGTTTGGCAATGATACGGTTTTACTCTCCCCGAGGGTTGAAGGTGACTGGGTAGGGCAGATGCCGCTTTGTTGACAATACACAGCGGCACTGCTCAATGAAGAGATCGGTTCTGTCGCTCTTTGGAGCCAGCAGAACGCCTTCATTCGCCATTACCAACTTGACACGCATTCTAAGGATCGTGCTCGGTTCGGTCTTTCGGTTGTCTCCAGTGGAGAGTGACCTGCCACCCTGACCAAGTTAGTAACTGGTCATTGATATCGGTTCTGTGTTCAATGTCGATATATTTCATATCACTACCAGTGTTCCCGTTCTATCCGGTAATTACCGGATTTTTACCGATAAAAATTGTGAAGATCCGGTATTTTCAACGGCCGTCGGTAGCTGCCGCCGGTAAATTTTGTATTGCTTAAAGTTGCCTTTTATCGGCAGATTTAATAAACTTGCAGTTAACAACGTCTTTGTTTATTCTTTGTTCTCTTCAGATCATTATGCAAACGTATTGAAAACTAGGGTGGCAATCCCACATCTAAATATAGACTCTAGAGTTTTTCACAGTTGTAAGAAGCGCATTTTATTGGATAAAGATTGGTTTCTAATGACGCTTTTCGCCACAGTCTGCTTATAAGGGTCGAATTGGTCAAAATTAGACACGCATTGACCTAAAGCAGCCAATCATATTACGCAATGGATACCGCCCTCGTAAAACCAAAACCTTTAGATTTAGACAAAAGTTTTGGGTAAAATAATGCCATTCTGAACATATTAAGCAAGAAATCGCTACCTATATCACGAAATTATGGAACTTATTGGACGATCGAGGTAGGTTATGACCTGGGACAAAATGCTTCATGTATATATTTTCGCGATTAAACATCGTGGTCCGGAAAGCTGAAGATTGAGGGCGGGCGACAGCCGAGATGTCACTTGTCAGTCAGTGACTTGACTTACATTACATGATCGCACAAAAGATGGAAATAGTAATTTTATATGTACGCTTGACAACTTTTATGAATGTTGTTGTTGATTTTATTCATTAGTTTATTCAATTTATTTAATGAATTCCTCGAAACATCGTTACTTTGCTCTTTGACAATGTTATTGTGGACCCGCTGTCGAAGCATGTGTCCGAATCGCGATTTTCAACTCGCGTGAAATGCAGATTGAAGTTCACCACAGGTATATAAACGCAATTATTTGCACATTTCACAGGCATTGAGATAGCGAATGACATTCTGAACACATTTATCGAATTTAGTTGGATCGCTTTCATTTTCTGATTGTGTCAATTGTAATGTAGGTCTAATGAACATTCTCGAAAAACAAGCAACACGTCCGGCAGACTTTTCAACACATTTATTAACAGTATATCGTTACGAATACTGATTACTTTGTCTCTCCGGATAAAAACTAGTTCAGCCGGAATTTTCAGACCCCGTCGGCATAAGCCGCCGGTAATTTTCAAAACCAGCGGGAACACTGACTACATCGCATTAGCCTTACCATCCTTTCGGGTTGGGTCGGGTTTGGGTGTACATCGTCCCTTACGCCCCTCGAGAGGGCTGCAGGTCCGCTTTGGCGCTTAACCAGTCATATGCTATTAACCGCGTCTTTAGACGCGAATTGCGCGAAACCCCCACGGGGCACTGTTTGGTATGCCTCTCTCGAGCCGCGATGTCACGCGTGACCAGGTTAGTGTAATGGTGAGCCAACATATGTTCGGCTCACGCTTTTCGCTATTCAGGGGGATTTTTAATGCGCTTACAGTTTTTCCCTCTTCCCGAGCCTTCGGTGTTTGGGAGTCTGTGTTAATCAGCTTTGTGGGATGGTGGCTCACACTTACCCTCCTCACGCGCCAGAGTGTTTGGTGGTGTTTTTTCACTGCATAATGCATGGCGTTTGTACTCGTTCGATTTCCTCAGAAAGTTTTAGCGCAGGCTAATAATTTCTCTGGGTTTTATCGGAGGTCCCGCTAGCCCTCTTCCAAACAGGGCTGCATTCGAGCATTACTGTTGCAGTACTTATTAGCTCGACTCCTGGGTTATTGGCTTTGTAGCGTTTAAATTTTTTCACGCTTCCCTCACCCTTATACCTCTCGCCACGATTGTCTGGCTGGGGCTATATTAGGGTTGGGAGTTGTTTCGACATGTCCCCATACATTCCTTCCATTGTAATGGTTGGGGGCTGGGTTTTATGTCATTGATATTGAGCCAATTGGACATATATAGCTTGAGCTCTCTAGTTCTCACCCGCCTGATTGACATCAGCGGTCAGGTGGCTCGGTGTTTTCTATTTCATTATCGGTTGTAGATTTCACTCCACCACGGGTTAGTTGTTGCCAGACAGAATGCCACTCCCGCCTCAAATATCTTTGGGAGTCTGTCATATGCTTATATGTACCCCAAGGAGGACTTCTTCTGAAAAAGAATTATACAAACCTGTAGAGGTTATGAATTCTTTGAAGAAAGTCCTCCTTGGGTAAAACACCTCCTCCCTCATTCTGTCTGACACGCTCAGCATGAAAAGTGAGGTACGAGGTAGACGGCGAGAGTTACCTGCTCTTGGCTGTGTTGGTCCGGTGGGGCCCTGTAGGGGTGGTCTCACAAGACAAAACGAGTTTTTTGTTTTGTAAATATTTTATTAAAAATATAGTTACAACTGTCGTAGGATTTAAAATGGACATTTTAATGCTTATATGTACCCCAAGGAGGACTTTCTTCAAAGAATTCATAACCTCTACAGGTTTGTATAAGTTTCACTTACACTCAGTCAGTGTGCTGGATAATAAACTTATCCAAAAACTTCAAGAACTGCATCTCTTTGTTGTTTTTCTCATATCTAGCTGATGCTCCAATATTTTACCAATGTACTCATAACAACAATTATGTCATCATATTCCAATTTACAGTGACCTGTAATTGTTTTATGAATACATTACATGTTTAAGTTCACCTTCATATATACACAAAGAACTTAATTAAGCACCCCTTGTATTTTTGCAATGATAGGTTTTCAAAACGCACATAAAACTTCTTGTGGTGCCCACGATGGAAAAACATGAGTTTTTCTGAACTGTATGATCCTTTGACTCATAAAAAACGACATAATGATTGGAATCCATGTTGATTTTATGATGATTGCTCATTTTAAAAAAACACACACTGATTTTCATGCAAAACCATATCTGTACAAGTATGGCCCTGGAATATTTAATGTTGAATTTATTGGTGAATGTGAACATTCAAATTATCAAAACGTAAATTTTTCCTTATCCTGACTCATGCTCTTTTGCTTGTCTTCTTCTTCTTGCGAACATAGTGGAACACTTGTATCTCCTTAATTGAAGCTCCCTTCAATGTAAAATCACTAATTAGTACTCACCAAGAGTTGCCTCCCTTTGCCTCTGCGCGGGAAAAGGTGGCGCCACCCTCTGGCCTCATGCTTCACTCTCTCCTTCTTCGCCCAGTGAGCAGGATGTGAGAGCGCCTGTGTCTCCTTACACACTATATCCTTTGGTTTTTCTTAGTTAGTTACCTCCTATAGGTTTACTATAGAGGTATAGCTAGTATCCTTCATTAATATGTATTGATAATTAATCGTATTTCTACTGTTTATTCACGGAGTTCGCGTGATTGTTCAGCTAGTATTACGCTGATGAAAATCTGTACTATTTGTAGATTACGTTTTTGCTGCTGACCCGCATGTAATATGCCCTAGTTGTTCTCACGCCTTGTGCGCTTGATTCCGCATTGCAGTTGCATTAATCTATCTAATTCTGCTTTTAATAAATATCATCTTTAAGTCTTGAGGCGTGCAGCAGATAGGTCCACTTAAACAAGGGTTAGACATGGCCGATACATCGAATGCCCATCCAGTCAGCTGCTGTTGGTCGACCCCCTCCGCCTGGTGTTACGCCAGAGTGTCCCTCGGAGGAGGGTGGGATGCAGTCCGCCGCCTTCAAGAAGCGCCCTGCCTCCTCAGACATCCCGTCCATCGCCAGCCAAAGTCTAAGAGGGCCTCGGCGTCTCACTCAGCGCAGACTCGCACTTCCAGGGCAGCGTCTACCTCCAAGGGAAAGTTCACGAAGTCGTCAAGAACTTTCTCGAGCCGAGATCGCTCCAGCAGCTGAACTGGGCCTCTATGATGATCAGCCGATCATCATCCCCGACCTACGCCACAAGAAGCGAATCGGTGACAGCTACAGTGACGTCCAGCAGAGATCGCCATGCAGCCTGATGTCTACACCCGATGTCGGACGATCTCCCTGAGGGCCCCGCCGCTAACATCGCAGAGAGGCACCCACTACTGCCGTCGCAGACCGTCCCAGATGAACTGATGCGGAAAATCATGATCATGATGGAAGACCACACTACAGACTGGAGAAGCAGCCAGCCCAGGGGCCTGAGCCTTCACGAAGGCTCCAACGCAGACGACACCCCAGAGGGACCCCCTGTCAACGTGGCGGCCACGGCTGAAGCCACCTTCGCTGGCGAAGAAAGTCACAGTCCACCTCGACGAAGGACCCAGATGTACAGCCTTAGCGAAGACCTTCGCGAATGCGGGATAGATCATCACCTTCCTCGGCTTCATCCTTAGATGCGGACTCAGACCACCAGACTTCACGGAAGCCTTCGCGAAGGTCAAGTCGCCGTTCCCAGGACGGACGCGAGAGGAAGCTTCGCTGGCGCCTTTCGGCGGGCACCTGGCTCCAGATCATCTTCGTCCAGAAGGACATCGAGGGACTCCACAAGAGCTTCGCGAAGCTATCAACATTCACCTCACAGGTCTCCGCGAAGGTCAACCCATAGACGCAGATCACCAAGACGATCACCTCGCCGTTCTCCGCGCCGATCTCCTCGTTCATCACCACGTCGATCTCCTTGCAGGTCACCACACAAGTCTGCACAGAAGTCTACAGTCAGGTCTCCCCTAACGTCACCCGGCACAGTGGTAGAAGCACACAGTCCACCATCTGAAGAGCATCAACCTCTCTTCAGCGATCCTGGGGTAGAAGATGATGGAGGCATGTTCTTTGGCCTTAATAGATCTAGAACGATCAATGAGACTCTTATCACCAGATTTCGTGACACGACATCTGAAGATGATAGGATGATCTACTCGGCCCTACTGATGCAAAAGAAGGACCAGCAGTTCCTAACGGATCATCTCACATCTGTCTCAGCAGCGCTAACCTTAGCTCGTCGTCAAGGCCTCCTCGCTTTCTGCAGCTGGGGTGAGAACTTTACAGCTCCACTGTATACAGCCCCGTGGTCCTCCCCATCCACCTTGACGGAGGAATAGAGAAAGTCTCCAAGGAAGTCACTAAGGATTCCAGAGAAGTCCTTATGATTAAGTCGATGGACACGCTAGCCAGCGTCATCAGGCAGACTACACAAAGATATACAGGAGATCTAAATTCACTGGATTACAGAAACCGGGATAGGAAGATGGCCAGCTCCAGGAAAAAGATTCTTTTAAAATTAAGCCCATATGGCAACTATAGAGGAGGATCAGGAAGAGGCAGGGCACCCAGAGGTTCCGCAACTATAAATGCTGAAAGACAGGTTCGAACGACTGGAGTCTTTCCACCCCAGCGTTCCAGTACAACCGCCACAAGTGGGTGGGCGCCTTCAACTACACTGGCAGAACTGGGGAATGTTACAAGACCCTTATGTCTCCAACATTCTTCAACACGATTTCAGGTGATCCCACTACAGGCTACGCCTCGTGACAGTCAACCCTCACAAGTTCGACTTCCAGGCACAACAACTACCAAAGTTAAGAGGCTGTTACATCAAATTTAACCAAGCAGAGCCATAGAAGTGCTAGATCAAGTAAACATCGAACCAGGCTTCTACTCCCCAGTTTTCCTAGTACCCAAGAAAAACTCCAAGGAGAAATACAGACTCATTTACAACATGAGCATATTCAACAGAAATTATCTACGCAAACCGCCAAAGTTTCGCATGATACATCTACCTCAGTGTTACGGCAGTTGATTCGTCCCATGGATTACATGGCCAGTATAGATCTGCAAGACGCATATCTACACATCCCGATACATCCCGAATCCAGGAAATACCTACGATTTACACTAGACGGGCTACACTAGATCAGCCCCCTGGCTATTCACGAGGATAACGAAACCTATTGTCACCTATCTACATCGTCTAGGGCTACGCAGTGCGTTCTACCTCGACGACGGGATACAAGTAGATCAAGATCCACAGTGTCTCAAACTACAGTTAAACTACATCATAAAGCTACTAACACAGCTAGGATGGTTAGTAAATTTACTCAAGTCGGACCTAGTACCATCGCAAGATCTGCAATTCCTAGGCATTCGATTTATCACGACTCTCAACCGTATCGTCGTACCAGAAGACCGTTGGCTCAAGATCCAACAGACCATTCCGCCAGCTCTACTCTCTCCGTTACCACTATGACATTGGCAGAGCCTGTTGGGTCTCCTCACGTCAGCCCAAGACATGACAGTCAGAGGCAGAATACAGTTACGTCCGTTACAGGTCTTCATCAATGCACATCTCAGCGACCTACAACCATTCAGTCTACCGAAACACCTCAGACCTCATCTACTATGGTGGACCAGGAGGTCGAATGTCTCGCGAAGGTATTTGTTTAACAGAGCAGGAATTCAAAACCCATCTATATGTAGACGGCAGTCGCTTCCAGGGTTGGGAGCTCATCTCAGCCAACCGGACTGACATCAGGGTTATTGAATCAGCAAGAAAGCAAGCTCCATATAAACATGTTAGAGATGAAAGCGTAATCAGCGCCATACTTCATTGGAGCACCATTCTACAAAATCGCATCTGATGATTCATACCGACAACTTCGACAGTGGCGTTTTATGTGAACAAACAAGGCTCAGCGAGATCACTGAACCTATTGACTTTAAGCTTTCAACTGTTCGATCTAATCCACGATCTCAACTTACATGTCAGAGCATGTCACATCCCGGAGCCAAGAATGTACTAGCAGACGCGCTCTCGGCCACATCAACCGTCACCGACAGAATGGATGCTCAATACAGAAATCTTTGCACCGATTATCAAGCAAATAGGAGCTCAGCTAATAGATCTATTAAGCCCTGCGCTTCAACAATCAGCTACCGACATTAGGTGTCACCAGTCCCGACCCACAAGCATGGGCAGCGGACGCTCTAAGCATATCCTGGGAAGGCCTCAATGCGTCGCAGCGTTTCCGCCAGCAATAATCCCTCAAGTGTTACAGAAAATCAGACAAACACAGAACCTCCAACTCACTTTGGTCGCCCTACTGGCCAGCCAGAGCGTGTTTTCCCATTCTAATTCAAGAACTGGGTCAACCAACACTAGAGCTACCAAAGCTCAAATCTATTAGTACATCCACACACAAACAGGTGCACGGAAGCCCAGGGTATTCCAACTTCGCATTATGGACTGTATTAAAATGTGTTTAAACAAGAGAGGATATTCAACCAGGCGGCAAAAGCAGTCAGCTTGCTTTACACGGCTATTCTACCGTGGCAATGCGGCGACAAGGTGGCACAGTTTAGAAAATTACGCGCCAGCAAATAAAGGGATTTACAGTGAGAGATGCTACTCATCCACAAGTGGCAGATTATTTGTGTTACCCTACGTCAAAACAAACATTTAAAGGCTCGACATTGTCAACATATCTTGCCCGCTTAGTTCTGTGATAACTATGAGAGCGGGTGTCAAGTTAACCAAGACTCCAGAGTTACTGGCCTTACTACGTGCTTTCCGATTGGAGGATCAAAGCGGAAGTTCCACGCCCAAAACTTGGGATCTGAATATAGTGCTCAACACCTCACAAGTGGGGCTTATGAACCGTTGGAATCGACAACCTTTGAATTTCTCTCACAGAAAACGGCTTTTCCTGTTATCTCTAGCCACGCAGCCAGGATGTCAGAAATTCACGCACTAGATTATGAGAGGATACAGTTTGATGACAATCAAAACACAGTGCACCTGGGATTAAGATGGGATTTCATCGCCAAAAATCAATTGCCAGGTCAACCAGACAGGTTATTCCATATTCCTGCACCCTCCTCAATTCTCGGATCTCAGGATACACTGGACTTATCTCTATGCCCAGTCAGAGCTCTCAAAATCTATTTATGACGTTCCAAAACAAGGCGAAGATTTCTCAAACGATTATTCATCCCCTTATCGGCAACAACTCAGACAGAAGTCTCTCGTACCACCATATCTATATGGATAAGAACTGTCATACTTCACTCCTACAAGGCAGCAGGACTGGACCCTCCAACAGCATCAAATCCCCATGAGATCAGGGCATTGGCTTCCACTACTTTCGCTCTACACGGTAACTGTTCATTGAATACAATTATGGAAGGATGCTTTTGGAAATCTAACATGGTGTTTGCTAATCACTATCTGAGAGATATCACCACGAGGGACGTCTCAAGAGGTATTCACCATTTCGGTCCCTTGGTCCTCGCAGACAGCAGTTGACAGTCCCTCAGAGATCGCTTAACACATAGTCTTCTGAGAGATTATTATGTATATTTCATACCAGTATTATCTAGCTTATAACTCTCTGGGAGTTCTAGGGCTATGTATATGCTTCTAGCTTAGGTCTACTCAGCCTTAAGCTTATACTGATGATCATGTTCAGTTGTATAGCTTCTCCTTGTCGGAGTCGCTTTTATATCTTTATTGCTATTATCATAGTATATTATTATTGTAATACCCCATCTATGGCAGTGTATAAACTTATGGTTTATAGTAGAGGAATTATCCTAAGTCAGTGCCTTTATGAAGTTCCCGTTAGGGGGTTATTACAGTTATATCTATATAAATCACTAATTTTATAAATCCAAAGTATTCTGTTCTTTCCCACCTCCGTTTCCGTAGGATTCTACAAGCAAAAGAGCATGAGTGAGGATAAGGAAAAATATGTAATTTTTAAAGTAAATTGATATTTTATACTTATCCTGAGTCATGAGGTAAACCCTCCCATCCTCCCCACATAACACTTTGGATTTCCCTGTAAATTCAAGTGTTGGGCTCGCAAAATCAGGAGAGAGTGAAGCATGAGGCCAGAGGGTGGCGCCACCTTTTCCCGGCGCAGAGGCAAAGGGAGGCAACTCTTGGTGAGTACTAATTAGTGATTTTACATTGAAGGGAGCTTCAATTAAGGAGATACAAGTGTTCCACTATGTTCGCAAGAAGAAGAAGACAAGCAAAAGAGCATGAGTCAGGATAAGTATAAAATATCAATTTTACTCTAAAAATTACATTTTTGCACGATTCAAGGCTAATACTGAGTGTAACCTCCATGTGACTGTATGATGGCCATCTCATCTGCATACACCCTGTCAGCCTCCTGATCCTCTGAAGGGGCAGTCTATGCCATTCCTGGTGTAAAGCAGCTTCCATTTGGGCCAGGTTCTGTACAGGAGGATCCCTTTGTTGCACACGACGACCAATCATGTCCCAGATATGCTCCAAAGGGTTAAGATAGAGGCTCATTCAATCGTGAGATATGACAGGGGATGCTTAACTAAGTTCTTTGTGTATATGTAATTAATAATGAACAGACTCATTTGTTACTCCCTGCTGTCAGAGATGCCAATTAGGTGTATCAGGGTTTTACGCGATGTGCAAATGTGCGTCCAGTAAACACACATGTAGTAAATGGACGCAGAAATAAGTTCACTGCGTCCAGAGGGACGCACGATATTATTCATTCACCCAGAAGACATCAGTGACTTCGCTAAGTGTTTGGTTGATTCCTTCAAAGAAGTAGGGGCCTAGGAGTAGCCTAGTGGTTAAAGCGTTGGCTCGTCACGCCGAAGACCCGGGTTCGAATCCCCACATGGGTACAATGTGTGAAGCCCATTTCTTGTGTCACCTGCCGTGATGTTGCTGGAATATTGCTAAAAGCGTCGTTAAACCAAACTCAGTCAGTCAGTCAGAGCAGTAACGTACATCATTTCATCCATCAGTCCACATGGTCAATGATTCATTCCAGGCTCTGAAGGAATTATTAAAACATACAGTTCTCTACACTGTTCCTTCACAGGACCCTCATTTGGCCAGCTGTGACCCTTAAGACTAATAATTGCATGTCACCGGGACAACCATGTTTGTGAGTCGAGGTAAAACCCTGGTGTATGTTATCAAGATCATCTTACCTGTGATAGCTGTGGTATTTGATTATTTATCTTGCCTCACACATAAATGTCGTTTTCTGATTGGCTAAGCGCTCTTCTATTATTTTCAATGTACCCTGCTTACAAGCGAGTAACATTTTCTATGTACCCCACTGGGAATGCCGAACTCATTTGGTACTTCGTAGTAGCGATTCTTTATCTTGAATAACATTGAATCATGCATGATGTACGGATTACTGATGTTTTGCGAATGCAAATCCAGGGAAGGGAGATAACTCTAAATTTGTTTTTCTTGTTGTCTTGTCGTCTGGTACTCCATACTATGATTGATACCCGAGCTTCAAAAAGTTCAAACTTGCCATTGAGGTGTTCGATAACATAAACAAACATTGAATGTACATCAGCCTATGTCCCTCTCGTGACCAGTGAACAACTTATAATGTAAAAGTGTTCTGTGGTTTCAGGACCCTACAAATTTGGACAAATTCAACTTGTCAGACTTCTACCATATCAAAAACAACTTGAAAGTTCCCTGATGAAGGTGAGGGTTATTTAGTAATAATTTTTCTGCATTTAGGTTCATCAATACATACTGCCGTGAAGATCCGGGTTAGAACTGGTCTTCAGCAACCCATGCTTGTCGTAAGAGACAACTAACGGGATCGGGTGATCTGACTTGGTTGACACATATCCCAATTGCATCGATTGATGCTCATACTGTTGATCACTGGATTGTCTGGGCCAAACTTGATTATTTACAAACCGCCGTCATATATCTGGAATATTGCAGAGTGCGGTGTACAACTAAACTCACTCACACACCCACATGTGGGACCTGATGACAATCTCAGTGGTGCAGGGGTGGTAGGATACCCTTGTGGTTAAAGCAATCACTCATCTCACCGAAGACCCAGGTTCAATTCCCTACACTGGTACAATTTGTGAAGCTCATTTCTAGTGTTCCCGTACTGTGATGTTGCTGGATTATTTCTAAAATTGGCATAAAACCATTCTCATTCATTCTTTCATTGTGTTCAGACAGTGACCAGTCGGACCCTAAGTACCGTCTGAAGAACATCAACTCAGAGGCCCGGGATACTCTGGAGGAACTGGACCGTGACTACAAACCCAAGGATCTACACCTGCTGGTGGGTAGAAAGAGCTGCAATTCTTAGCCTTACCAGGAACCCTAGACAACCAGTGAAAGTGGATGAATTACTTGTACCCTGATAATATTCAATGGTTGTTGTTTCCACAGAAATGGTTAAGACCAAAACCTGCATCACTTTGGGCTTTTCTGTGGTGGTGGTGGGTTTCACATAAATGGTTAAGTCTAAGATTTGCATCACTTTGGGCTTTCCTGTGGTGGTTGTGGTGGGTTTCACATAAATGGTTAAGTCTAAGATTTGCATCTCTTTGGGCTTTCCTGTGGTGGTGGTGGGTGGGTTTCACATAAATGGTTAAGTGTAAGATTTGCATCTCTTTGGGCTTTCCTGTGGTGGTGGTGGGTTTCACATGAATGGTTAAGTCTAAGATTTGCATTACTTTGGGCTTTCCTTTGGTTGTGGTGGGTTGGTTTCACATAAATGGTTAAGTGTAAGATTTGCATCACTTTGGGCTTTCCTGTGGTGGTGGGTTTCACATAAATGGTTAAGTCTAAGATTTGCATCACTTTGGGCTTTCCTGTAGTTGTGGTGGATTTCACATAAATGGTTAAGTCTAAGATTTGCATCACTTTGGGCTTTCCTGTGGTGGTTGTGGTGGGTTTCACATAAATGGTTAAGTCTAAGATTTGCATCTCTTTGGGCTTTCCTGTGGTGGTGGTGGGTTTCACATGAATGGTTAAGTCTAAGATTTGCATTACTTTGGGCTTTCCTTTGGTTGTGGTGGGTTGGTTTCACATAAATGGTTAAGTGTAAGATTTGCATCACTTTTGGCTTTCCTGTGGTGGTGGGTTTCACATAAATGGTTAAGTCTAAGATTTGCATCACTTTGGGCTTTCCTGTAGTTGTGGTGGATTTCACATAAATGGTTAAGTCTAATATTTGCATCACTTTGGGCTTTCCTGTTGTGATGGTGGGTTTCACATAATTGGTTAAGTCTAAGATTTGCATCTCTTTGGGCTTTCCTGTGGTGGTGGTGGGTTTCACATAAATGGTTAAGTGTAAGATTTGCATCACTTTGGGCTTTCCTGTAGTGGTGGTGGTGGGTTTCACATAAATGGTTAAGTGTAAGATTTGCATCACTTTGGGCTTTCCTGTGGTGCTCTACACTCCGAAGACCCGGGTTCGATTCCCCACATGGGTACAATGTGTGAAGCCGATTTCTGGTGTCCTCCGCCGTGATGTTGCTGGAATATTGCAAAAATCGGCGTATAACCATACTCACTCACTTTCTATGGTGGTGGGTTTCACAAAAGTGTGAAATGTCCTGGATCCGAATCTGACTCTAGTGACATGCAGTGATATGACTAAAAAATATGAAAGGATGTCAGACCTTGTCCACTCAGTATGGACCATATGTGGGTCTCAAATATTTGAAGGGTTTTAAACACATGGCAGGGAACTCATTATCACAGGTATTTCAAGAGACAAAGACCAATACAGTCAACAGTCAATCATTCTCAGGTCATGGACCTGTCAGAGAGTAGAATTTTATAATGTTTTTTTCCATTACATTTTTTCAATAGATTATTTTTCTGTACATATTAATTGTGCTGTTGCACAAAGCATAGTAATGTGCCAATATTTCTGTGAAATTTCCCTGGAGTGATGCAATCACACTTGGGACTGCTAGATACACAAGGACTAGATTTGGACCAATAACTAGGAGAACAGTGTATGCTGTAATAACAATTACCGGTATATGTTTATCAAATGTTGAATAATATATACATTATGTAATCATGTACTCTTATCCACCGATATTGTGATATATTAGAATACTGCTGAAATCAGCTTTTACCTAATCCCTCAACCATGATATCCAAACTAATCACCCAAGATGTGATATATTTATGGTTTCCATGGCAACAACATTTGGTTTAACTGGAATGTACTTAAAATTCCTTGCTGATCGTCTACATCCTGGTAAATAATGTTCAGGTGTTTCAAATGGTATTTATTTCACTGTTTACAGTTTAATCTACCATTTCTGACATTACACTGTGCCATTTTCAGGGCATTACAAACGAGCAGAAAGCCAAGCCTGACAAGTTCAATTCTGTAAGTATACACAGTGTTTATTTTGATTGGGGCTTTCACTACAGGATGTTTCCTTCAGTATGCTGCCTTACCGTGAAGAACCGATTAGAATTGGTCTTCAGCAATCCATGCTTGTTGTAGGAGGTGGACCCGTGAAGATCCGGGTTTGAATTGGTCTTCGGCAACCCATGCTTGTCGCACTAGGCGACCCGTAAAGACTCGGGTTAGAATTGGTCTTCAGCAACCCATGCTTGTTGTAATGCAAGAGGCTTAACTGTGAAGATCCGGGTTAGAACTGGTCTTCAGCAAGCCATGCTTGTCGCACTAGGCGGACCCGTGAAGACTCGGGTTAGAATTGGTCTTCAGCAACCCATGCTTGTCGCACTAGGCGGACCTGTGAAGACTCGGGTTAGAATTGGTCTTAAGCAACCCATGCTTGTCACACTAGGCGGACCCGTGAAGACTCGGGTTAGAATTGGTCTTCAGCAACCCATGCTTGTCGCACTAGGCCGACCCGTGAAGACTCGGGTTAGAATTGGTCTTCAGCAACCCATGCTTGTTGTAAGAGGCGAACTGTGAAGATTCCAGGTTAGAATTGGTCTTCAGCAACCCATGCTTGTCGCACTAGGCGGACCCGTGAAGACTCGGGTTAGAATTGGTCTTCAGCAACCCATGCTTGTTGTAAGAGGCGAACTGTGAAGATCCAGGTTAGAATTGGTCTTCAGCAACCCATGCTTGTCATAAGAGGTGACTAACGGGATCGGGTGGTCAGGTTTTATGACTTGGTTGACACATGTCATCGTACCCCAGTTGCGTAGATCAATGCTCATGCTGTTGATCACTGGATTGTCTGCACCAGCCTTGATTGTTTGCAAACTGGCGCCATATAGCTGGTATATTGCTGAGTGTGGCGTTAAACACCAACCAACCAACAGAATTAAACCATTACGGATGATAATTACTGGCAACATTTTCATGGAATGAAGTTCCCAGTAAATGAGTTTGTATATCTTATGAAGTAATTACTAGGGAAAGCACTGGTATTGCAATGAAAGCTGTGCCCAACTAACCCTGAACACTTAATGTGCTTTGCTGTGATTATTTTTGCTGAAAAGCCAATATATCTTTTAAACAATGTTTATTTTTATTAAGCAATATGCTGACAAGGCAAAATGTTACATTGTTTATATTGCACCAGTGAATAAGCAATATGTTTTGCTAAGATTTGCTGACAAGGCAAGCAACACTGGAGAAGCTGATGATATATAAATATAGATATTCTTGTTATGTACATGTGTTATGTATCATGAAACTATTTGCACTTTGACCAGGCATCCTACGAGCCCTGCTCAACTGGTGTTATGTATCAGTATCACCAGCATCCTTCACGTGCAGTATCCACAGCAGCAGTGACCCCACAGACAGAGCAGGAGTCAGGTAAGGTCAGGTGTACTGATGGAAGGGAGGTTTATGTTGTATTTTAGTGACAGCAGTCAAACTCTTTGTTGGTATTGAGATATTTAAATAAATCTACTGTCTTCATAGTTTATCCAACATCTGCTTTAACGCTTCCAGATAATCGACGGTATAGCATGTACGGATATAAAATAAGCACGATACGCTAGGAAATAATTTAGAAAACGTTTACGCTGCTAATGTCACAGCAATGGTGTACGGTCTTAGAATCCTTTATAGACGTATTTATCCGAAAATGTATTGTTTTATTGATTATTGCAATGTTGTGGCGCATATATGAAATGAAACACAAGATTACTGATACTCCATGAAATCCCATTCAGTGCTCTTAATGTACTCTTAAGGTTTTCCAGTACTCCTGTATTGAAAAAATAAGGAGTACGTATTCCTGATGTTGAAAAATTATCTGGAGCCCTGTTAACGTCTTCTGATCAGACAGTGCAGTGTGCTAAGGTTGTTGTTTTTTGTTTAATTACATCCAAATTTGAAACCTGGTTGACTGGCTACATGTGTGGAATTGTTGGAAAGTCTTGACTCAGCATTTTGCAAACTTCCCACCTTTTCTTATATGTCTTTGAGAGGCATTTTAGACGTTGTAAAGATGGAAGGAAAACCAAGTCTATTGATAGTCAGTTTCTTCATAGCAATTAGTACAAGGTTTCGGTGTAGGTACTGACACCGTTATCAAGCAAGTCATATGTCTTATATGTCATCTGAATCGACTGGAAACGATCTGAAATTTGGTGCTGATAACAAGCTTCCTAACAAGCTACCTATCTGCAGTGTTCATGAATAGCGTCGGACCCTTGGAAAAATCTGGCAGATTTGCCGTTGGTCCGATGGAAGTCTACAACCTGCCGGCGCCAGTGTCCGACTGTATATTTAACCACCCATGAAGGTCCAGGTTAGAATTGGCCTTCAGTAACCCATGCTCGTCGTAAGAGGCGACTAACGGGATCGGGTGGTCAGGCTCGCTGACTTGGTTGACACATGTCATTGGTTCCCAGTTACGCAGTTCGATGCTCAAAATTTTGATCACTGATTGTCTGTTCCAGACTCGATTATTTAGAGACCGCTGCCATATAGCTGGAATATTGCTGAGTAGGGAGTAAAACTAAACTCACTCACTCACTGTATAGTTCACAATGACTTTGACTGAAGATAAGTATATAAATATACAATTTATAGTTAAAATTTCCAATATGTGATATATATATGACCCTTGTTTGCTGTTTATAAATTTTAAGTTTGTTAATAATTTCAATGCCAATTACAAGGAATGTTAAATCTGAAATGTGTGTTCCATTTTCATACTATGGGTCCTGTAAATTTTCAATGGGTCAGACAGACATCTGAAACTTACAGGACCCAATGTCCTGTAACCTTTAAACACCACTCGTGAACACTGTATCTGATCTGTTTCCAGCTGTTATACATGAAGATGTGTTGAGATATGAGAGAGTCCACAAGAAGGGTTACGTCAGGATGGTGACCAGCCACGGCACCCTCAACTTAGAGCTCTTCTGTGACATGGTGGGCAATTATTCAATCAAATGTTAAGGTCTTTCTTCCTGAAAAATCCACGTACCCAGCTGCCTGGTTGCTCTTCCTTGTGTACTTTTGAATCCAAAATATGGTTGGACATGCATGGTTTAATATGATGATGGAAGAAGAAAAAATGAAGAGTATTTTGTATCTTTCTTTTAACATGTACACTGAGGATCACTGAAAATGTCGTCTGCTAGCAAGTAAACAAAGGGGGATAACTCTTCACAAACTAATGAAAAGGATTAACGGAGTTGTCTCCCTTGAATGAAACCAAGCACTTGATAGCTGGTCAAGGTTGTTTATACTAGAAATCCAATTAAACATATTCCTAAAATTCTCAATAATTTCTGGTCATACTATACATAGTAAGCTGGATGTATGGATCAATGCTTTGGTGAGTCTGTCCTGACAGACTAAGGACAGGAAGACATCCGACTCCTATAGACTGCAGATGCAACTATGGGTTGATGCAATCACAAATTTAGACCTGACATGATATATCATATACATAGTTGTTAAACAGGAAAGATAAACATCAGAAGTGAGTGAAAATGTTACATTGTGTGTTTTTTAGTGCTGTAACAATATGACATATGTTATATTTGGGATAACACTTTCTTAGTAAAGTACAGATTCCAGTACTTTTTGGCTTGAGTCCCATCCGGGATTCGAACCCACACCCTCAGAGTCAGGCACCTAATCGCCAGCACACAAAGTCAGACACCTAGACAGCTCAGCCACTGCGACTTACACAAAAATGGAAGTCTGACTACTGGTAGTCTAAGACTTTGTGTACTCCTCTCATAAGTGTAAATTGGCACGGCTCCCACGGCCGAAAGCTATGATAACACAATGCCATTTAGAAAGTTGTCAAATGTAATATATGTTATACTTGGGATTACACTTTCTTAGCAAAGGCATCTGACTTTGTGTGCTGCGATTAGGTGTCTGACTCTGAGGGTGTGGGTTCTAATCCTGGATGGGACTCATTTAACATATGTTACATCTGACCAATTTCTAAATGGCATTGTGTATTCATGCTGTAACGAAGCATCGAAACTATCAGTGGATAGTAATTAATGAGTCTCCGACAGCAATTAATTGATGGTAGAAACGAAAAACTATCGATGCTTCGATAGTATGTGTGACTATCGATAGTTAAATAAATGACTTCCGTTCATAAATGCACAGCACAAATACAGGAAGTACCAGATTCATTCACTTTCATTTAGAGTTATCCGCTCCTGTTACCTCTTAAACAAACATGGCGCCAAACACGGCATGTGACATGAAGTTTGAAATAGTGAATAACAGTATGTTTATGTTTGAACTATTTACTTGATCTGGGTTTCAAGTTTCTTGTCAGTTATTAAAAGAAATTGAAACTCTGTCAACTTGTTTTTATTTCATATAAACTATACATTTGTTTGGGAAATCACTTCAAATGAGACAATTCAAGGAGAAAAAATATATTGCAATAGTATTGCAATAGTTGGTCGCAATAGACTATCACTATCGCAATAGTATGTTCAAATAGACTATTGAATCGCAATAGTTGTTTCCCCCTCAATAGTCACCCCTAGTGTTCTTGTTCCAGGTGCCCAAGACTTGTGAGAACTTCATGCAGCTGTGTGCCCGGGGGTACTACGATGATATGACTTTCCACCGTTCCATCAGAAACTTCATTGTGAGTGTGTCATGTTCATTCTGTTCTTGTTCATCATATTTTCGGGCCGGTGGGGTGGCCTTATGGTTAAAGTGTCCGCTCGTCACGGGTTTGATTCCCCACATGGGAACAATGTGTGAAGCCCATTTCTGGTGTCCCCTGCCATGATATTGCTGGAATATTGCTATAAGTGTCGTAAAACCATATTCACTCACTCATCATATTTTCAGTATACAGCGCTACCTAGTCCATGGAGTCTAATCCAAGTCCTTCTGAATTGCAGTTACGACCCAGGGGCCCGGTTTCACAAAGCTATTGTAGTGCTACGAATGTCGTAAGTCTATGTTATAGTATAGGACAGTATGACAGTCATAGCGCTACTATAGGTTTGTGAAACGGGGCCCTGGTAAGGAAAGTCCAACAGTTTATTGCTGGCTATAGGAGTATCTAGGGTAACCCTGTACCTGGAAACAAGCCAGTGGTCGATAGAATGAGCAACACCCAACACCATTAGGCTATGATAACATACAGACTTATTCTTTCAACCACTTTATTTTGGCCAAAGCTTTTTTATGACTTCAACAACAACCAAATAAAAAAGTAACATCCAATTTGATAATATTTATATTTCTGTTCATACAACTAGTCGCAAGTTGGTTGAAGGTGGTATACTTTCAACACTGATGTTATAAGTCACACAAACAAAGACCACTAAACAATGCAAACATGTCTGGTACCATCAAGGAATTCGTTTTTCAAATACGCCAATTTTGAAGTATGTTTTGAATGAAACATGGGTTTTGAACATGCTTGGAATTACAGCTCCCCTTTAGAATTTGCTTTTGTTAATGCATTGGTCAAGAAACAGTTCTGTTTTAGTGGGAGAGTCAGAGAAACAATAACTCTCCTGTAGATAGTGGTGTTTCTGTCAGCTGTTCTACTCCGGGCTGCTACTGTCATGTTTGTAATGCTGATTGACTTATTTCCCCAGATCCAAGGTGGAGATCCCACTGGCACTGGGAAGGGTGAGTACGACTGTCATGCCAGAGTTTGGTACACTTCTTCCAAGTTAACCCTTACACTGTTAAGCATGTGTAGTTTGCTCACAGAAAAGGGAGTTTCAGACTAACAACTCATAACATTTGACACCCTAGTCAGGGGCGGATCCCGGATTTTGGAAAGGGGAGTTGCACATAGATCATGAAGTACAAATGTTAGGGGGAAATGCTCCTCAGGAAAGATGTTCTTTGGGGTGGGGGGGCAACCACACACACACACACACACACCGGCACACCCCCTGCCTGGATCCGTCCCTGCTAGTGCATGCTTCCATGTCAGAGAAGCTGAAGAGGAAAAACTTTGTGGGTTGACAACCTATTTTTAGCAATAGATGCGATGTTTCAGTGTAGATGTTAACACTGTTATCGAGCATGTGATGGCAGTGTTAGTTTCTACACTGAAATGTTGCATCTGTTGCTATAATGAAGTGGACAATCCAGCCATTCATTCCTCTTCATCATACCAGCTGTTAAATGTCGCTTAAAGAAGTCAGTTCAGCTGACATACATTTTCTGAGTCCTGGTGAGGTGAGGTGAAATGGGGTTTAACGTCGTGCTTGAGAATATTTCGCTCATATGACGTGCGTGCGTGTGTATGTGTATGTGCACCTGCTTGTACTAGCCCTGACTAAAGCTGGTTTTATAGTGCTAGCCCACTGAGATACCATGCCGCAGTGAAGCATGAATACCCCACTCAGACACATTACACTGACTCCGAGCCGGTCAGTCCTTGTTGTACCCATTAATGCCGAGCGCCAGGCAGGGACCAACAAGTTTTAACGTCCTGGGATGAGTCCTGGGATGAGATTCAAACCAAGGATGTGTAATGTATGATGTTCTTCTTGAATAGACAGACTTTCTGTAGGTTCCAACATTGAGTATTGCTTGTCTAAGTTGGTGATGTAGTAGTTATTGCGCCCGCCTAGAGAGCGGAAGGTCGCTGGTTTGATGCCCGTCTGTGTCATACCAAAAGACCTTAAAATATGGTACTTGTTGGTCCCTGCCTGGCGCTCGGCATTAATGGGTACAACAAGGTCTGGTCGGCTCGGAGTCAGTATAATGTGTCTGAGTGGGGTGTTCATGCTTCACTGCGGCATGGTATCTCAGTGAGCTAGCAATATAAAACCAGCTTAAGTCTGGGCTGGTCAAAACAGCCACATATCATCATGTGAGCGAAATATTCTCAAGTACGACTTTAAACCCAATTTCTCCTCACCTCACCTGTGTTCATAGAGTTTGATGACATAAAGTACATGACATTAACATGATTAAGGGATAATAAGTCTGTAATTCTGTCTGTGATACACAGGTGGACAGTCTTGCTGGGGTCCTGCGTTCAAGGACGAGTTCAAACCCAACTTGACCCATACAGGGAGGGGGATGCTCAGCATGGCCAACAGTGGACCCAACACAAACAAGTCTCAATTGTGAGTAGTAGAGACTGACCCAACACAAACAAGTCTCAATTGTGAGTAGTAGAGACTGACCCAACACAAACAAGTCTCAATTGTGAGTAGTAGAGACTGACCCAACACAAACAAGTCTCAATTGTGAGTAGTAGTAGTAGTCTCACCAGTGAGTAGTAGAGAGTGACCCAACACAAACAAGTCTCAATTGTGAGTAGTAGAGAGTGACCCAACACTAGCAAGTCTCAATTGTGAGTAGTAGAGAGTGACCCAACACTAACAAGTCTCAATTGTGAGTAGTAGAGACTGACCCAACACTAGCAAGTCTCAATTGTGTATGTAGAGACTGACCGAACACAAACAAGTCTCAATTGTGAGTAGTAGAGAGTGACCCAACACAAACAAGTCTCAATTGTGAGTAGTAGAGACTGACCCAACACAAACAAGTCTCAATTGTGAGTAGTAGAGACTGACCCAACACTAGCAAGTCTCAATTGTGAGTAGTAGAGAGTGACCCAACACAAACAAGTCTCAATTGTGAGTAGTAGAGACTGACCCAACACAAACAAGTCTCAATTGTGAGTAGTAGAGACTGACCCAACACTAGCAAGTCTCAATTGTGAGTAGTAGAGACTGACCCAACACAAACAAGTCTCAATTGTGAGTAGTAGAGACTGACCCAACACTAGCAAGTCTCAATTGTGAGTAGTAGAGACTGACCCAACACTAGCAAGTCTCAATTGTGTATGTAGAGACTGACCGAACACAAACAAGTCTCAATTGTGAGTAGTAGAGAGTGACCCAACACAAACAAGTCTCAGAGAGTAGAGACTGACCCAACACAAACAAGTCTCAATTGTGAGTAGTAGAGACTGACCCAACACAAACAATTCTCAATTGTGTATGTAGAGACTGACCCAACACAAACAAGTCTCAATTGTGAGTAGTAGAGACTGACCCAACACAAACAAGTCTCAATTGTGAGTAGTAGAGAGTGACCCAACACTAGCAAGTCTCAATTGTGAGTAGTAGAGAGTGACCCAACACAAACAAGTCTCAATTGTGAGTAGTAGAGACTGACCCAACACTAGCAAGTCTCAATTGTGAGTAGTAGAGAGTGACCCAACACAAACAAGTCTCAATTGTGAGTAGTAGAGAGTGACCCAACACAAACAAGTCTCAATTGTGTATGTAGAGACTGACCCAACACAAACAAGTCTCAATTGTGAGTAGTAGAGACTGACCCAACACTAGCAAGTCTCAATTGTGAGTAGTAGAGAGTGACCCAACACAAACAAGTCTCAATTGTGAGTAGTAGAGTCTGACCCAACACAAACAAGTCTCAATTGTGAGTAGTAGAGACTGACCCAACACAAACAAGTCTCAATTGTGAGTAGTAGAGAGTGACCCAACACAAACAAGTCTCAATTGTGAGTAGTAGAGAGACTGACCCAACACAAACAAGTCTCAATTGTGAGTAGTAGAGAGACCCAACACAAACAAGTCTCAATTGTGAGTAGTAGAGAGTGACCCAACACAAACAAGTCTCACTCAGAGTAGTAGAGACTGACCCAACACTAGCAAGTCTCAATTGTGAGTAGTAGAGAGTGACCCAACACAAACAAGTCTCAATTGTGAGTAGTAGAGACTGACCCAACACAAACAAGTCTCAATTGTGAGTAGTAGAGACTGACCCAACACTAGCAAGTCTCAATTGTGAGTAGTAGAGAGTGACCCAACACAAACAAGTCTCAATTGTGAGTAGTAGAGAGTGACCCAACACAAACAAGTCTCAATTGTGAGTAGTAGAGAGTGACCCAACACAAACAAGTCTCAATTGTGAGTAGTAGAGAGTGACCCAACACAAACAAGTCTCAATTGTGAGTAGTAGAGACTGACCCAACACTAGCAAGTCTCACTCAGTGAGTAGTAGAGAGTGACCCAACACAAACAAGTCTCAATTGTGAGTAGTAGAGAGTGACCCAACACAAACAAGTCTCAATTGTGAGTAGTAGAGACTGACCCAACACAAACAAGTCTCAATTGTGAGTAGTAGAGACTGACCCAACACTAGCAAGTCTCAATTGTGAGTAGTAGAGAGTGACCCAACACAAACAAGTCTCAATTGTGAGTAGTAGAGACTGACCCAACACTAGCAAGTCTCAATTGTGAGTAGTAGAGACTGACCCAACACTAGCAAGTCTCACCAGAGTAGTAGAGAGTGACCCAACACAAACAAGTCTCAATTGTGAGTAGTAGAGACTGACCCAACACAAACAAGTCTCAATTGTGAGTAGTAGAGAGTGACCCAACACAAACAAGTCTCAATTGTGAGTAGTAGAGAGTGACCCAACACAAACAAGTCTCAATTGTGTATGTAGAGACTGACCCAACACTAGCAAGTCTCAATTGTGAGTAGTAGAGAGTGACCCAACACAAACAAGTCTCAATTGTGAGTAGTAGAGACTGACCCAACACAAACAAGTCTCACCAGAGTAGTAGAGACTGACCCAACACTAGCAAGTCTCAATTGTGAGTAGTAGAGAGTGACCCAACACAAACAAGTCTCAATTGTGAGTAGTAGAGACTGACCCAACACAAACAAGTCTCAATTGTGAGTAGTAGAGACTGACCCAACACTAGCAAGTCTCAATTGTGAGTAGTAGAGACTGACCCAACACAAACAAGTCTCAATTGTGAGTAGTAGAGACTGACCCAACACTAGCAAGTCTCAATTGTGAGTAGTAGAGACTGACCCAACACTAGCAAGTCTCAATTGTGAGTAGTAGAGACTGACCCAACACTAGCAAGTCTCAATTGTGAGTAGTAGAGACTGACCCAACACTAGCAAGTCTCAATTGTGAGTAGTAGAGACTGACCCAACACTAGCAAGTCTCCCTCTAAATTAGTAGTTGGAAACATGCATTACTGATTTATACCTCACACCAGCAGCACGTCCACCTCTCTAACGAGTGGTGGGTGATGCATGGTCCTCTGCATAGAGCTCAGGTCACAAATCAGTTAAAGTTAAGCAGCGCTGGGCGCAGAGATTCCTTGGATGGGTGACAGTGTTTGGCAGGTTGACTCCTGAGAGTCCTGCCCCACAACGAAGCAAATGTGATACATGTGGTCTCACCTTACTCAGGCAAGTGAGTTTGTTCAACATTGCCTCTGTTCACCCAGCAGAGAATGGGTACCCGGTGGGATAAGTCGTGTGACTATTAACCTTCTTGCACCTCACAGACAGGTTGGGTTATCTGGGGTAATAATAATGAGATTGTGCGCTTTGAGCAGGACATGAAGCTGGAAAGGCACATTATAAATATTCTGACTATATTATTGTCAATGTACGGTCTGTTTCAGCTTCTTCACATACAGGTCGGCCCGGCATCTGGATGGTAAACATGCAGTGTTTGGCAAGTGAGTTGTACTGATGGCTGGTCAACTACTCTGGACAAATAATCCATTGTTGATCCTGTAGTTCTGGTAGAGAGATGTACCTGGGATAGGTTAGGACTTGTATGAATTAGAGTGCCATTGAAGAAGACAATATCACATTGACTTTGTCCAAAAATACCCTTGACACACAAGTGATTTCTTAGAGTTGAATGCTTGGGTTGTTGTTGGTTTTTTGTTTAACGCTGCGCTCAGCAATATTCCAGCTATATGGCGGCAGTCTGTAGATAATCGACTCTGGGCCAGACAATCCAGTGATCAACAGCATGAACATTGATCTACACAATTTGGATATGATGACATGTGTCAACCAAGTCAGCGAGTCTGACCATCCGATCCCGTTAGTCTCCTTTTACGACAAGAATGGGTTGCTGAAGATCAATTCTAACTCGGATCTTCATGGGTATGTAAATTCCATCACCCAACAACATTGAACAAACACATGGTAAAAGATAACAAGTTTCATGAATAGTCTGACTCACAACATAAACCTGGCAATTCAGGAAAACGAATTATCACTCTCAGTGAATAAGAAAGGGGGACATTACTTGCTTATTAATTAACACATGATAAAATGACATTCACCTAGGTCATAGATGGTTCAAGCCATTTTATCATCCAAAACTGGCTCCCACAGTAGATATCGCTTGTGTGATATCAAGGGATATCTAGATTGAATTGTCATAATGCTATTACATTGTCAGTTAATGACATCACAATGCTTTGACATCACTAACAACACTGCTGACAATGCTATGACATCACAAAGTTGATGACATCACAATGCTTTGACATCACTAACAACACTGCTGACAATGCTATGACATCACAAAGTTGATGACATGTCAATGCTATGACATCACTAACAACACTGCTGACAATGCTATGACATCACAAAGTTGATGACATGTCAATGCTATGATGTCATAGAGCTGATGACGTCACAATGCTATGACTTCACTGAGATCACTGCTCAAGAAGCTTAATGTCAGTTTTGTGTTCAGATGAATTCATTGTTTTACTGATAATTGATGAAGAACGATTTTGGGTGATAAATAGAATCTCACCCTTGTGTATTCTGATATCAAATGTATCAACACTCGTTGATTAGAGTAGAAATATCCTTGGGAAGCCTCGGATATTTGTAACCTTATCCACTCGTGTTGATATATTTGATATCAGAAGACACTTGGGTGAGATTCTCTATTTAAGAGCAATGTCAAACAAGGTCAGAATTTAAACTTTGCTAAAAAATGATCTTTTATGCTGAATTCTACAACTACTATTCCATTGTCACATTGTAAGTGGAGAAAAGCAACATTTTCTTTGAATCTTTAAATGCCAAGTGGTAGTGGTTTTGGTTCAGATCATGTGTTACCATGGTTACAGGATTGTTGGTGGATTGGAAACATTGGACAAAATGGAAGCTGTTGCCGTCAACAAACATGACAAACCTAAGGTGAGGTCTTCTCAAATATTTTCAGTGAGTAATATTTGATTGGTTGGTTGGTTTGTTGTTTAACGCCGCACTCAGCAATATTCAAACTACTGTATTTCCTCTATAAGCGTTTGTGGTGTCCTCCACCATGACATCGCCGGAATATTGCTAAAAGCGGCATAAAACCAAAACTCACTCACTGTAATAAGCCCCGGGTATCCAATAAGCGCATACCTCCAATAAGCCCCGGGGGTACAGCAACTGTTCAAGAAAGAAGCGCCAGGTCTCCCATAAGCGCCGGATCTCTAATAAGTGTCGGGTGTGCCACATGTTTACAATGGAGTTTTGAAATAAAATACCATTGGAGAATCTATATTTTTAAAAGTTATCCTATCTAACGGTTAGTACTCTCTCTCTCTCTCTCTCTCTCTCTCATCATCGATAGCTGGAAACGAACTGCAAACAAAGTTTTTGGCCTCTTTTGTACCATTCGCCTGAACACTTCCCTCTGTTCCCATTCCTGGCCATCCTGAAACCCGTGTGAAGCATGCAGCATGCCGACCGGTTGATCATGTGACTCCTTTGTCTGATCGTTCTCTTCTTGGAGCATTAGTCGTAATTTGTTATGTTATCTGTGTAGTGGCATAGGTTGGTTGGGAACCCATCGCGTGAGATAGGATAAGTATTTATAAATATACAATTTATAGTTAAAATTTTCAAATTTGTAACTTATCCAATCTCATGGTTAGTACTTATCCCATGGTTGGTTGATGGATCACTGATTACCCAGTGTCTGTATTTCCGCGTCTCACCTCGATTCATTACAAACTGCCACAGAATTAGTCTTGCGACTCCCTGCTTGACAATCCCTGCTTCGAAACCATATTCCAGTTCACACACACAGTTGAAAAAGAACATGGCCCGGTAAGCTCAACTGTTTTAACGTTCAGTTCCGAATGACATTGAACGACCCTTGCTCCTTTGCATAAGCTTGTCAGGATGTGAACGGTAAGTAGGAGCCCGAACGCATTGAAATCCACTGGAATTCGGTATTCACACTTCACTGGTGTGATGACTGTTATACAACACCCTAGTGTACTACTAGGTGACAACAAACCTCTATGAAACGTCCTTGTCTTTGTTCCAGGAAGAAATCAAGATTGAGAATGTCATCGTGTTTGTGAACCCGTTTGATGAAGCAGATGAACAGGTATGTTGGAATCTGTATAAAGAATGGAGGATAAGGGAGGATGAACAATGCAGTACCCATTCCATCTTCCCACTTTACAAATATTTCATTTTTCTCAAATACCCGTGAAGGTCCGGGTTAGAATTGATCTTCAGTAACGCATGCTTATCATAAGAGGTGACTGACGGGATCGGGTGGTCAGGCTTGCAGTCTTGGTTGACACATGTCATCGTATCCCAGTTGCATAGATCGATGCTCATACTGTTGATCACTGGATTGTCTGGTGCAGACTTGTATATTTTCGAACCGCCGCCATATAGCTGAAATATTGCTAAGTGCGGGATAAAACTAAACTCACTCATTCAGTGATGAATGCACAACACACACCTAACTCTACAAACACTCCTAAGCCCACTAAATAACACCAAAACATTCAATGGCTAAACAAAACTGGCGTTCAAGGTCGCACATAATCTCACATCACCATTAAGTACCAATATAAAAAAACCCCAAGAACTCATACCCCGAAGAACAAAGAAAACCAAAAAACCTTAACGTCCCCTTCAGGTTGCCATATCTTGCAGTCAAACCATCCCTGTTTTCATCCAACACTATTGGCCTGGCGGGCCCATGTGGAAAGCACACATTAAATCTCGACATCATCTTCATCAATCATGAACACGTTGTTAATCTTCATTTCACATCTTCAGATATGTGGGGTAGCATAGTGGTTAAAGCCTTTGCTTGTCATGTCGAAGACTAGGTTTGGTTTCACATATGGGTATAATGTGCGAAGCCCATTTCTGGACAGTTGCTAAAAGCAGCGTAAAAGCACCTCTGACTCTTCAGATATGCCTAATAGCCTCGCTTAGCTTGGCATCTGTGTCACGTTCATATCTTACACTTTGGTAATGCATTTGAGAGGAATAAGAGTTCTTTTTCACAGAGATCGTCCTTGGGGTACATATATGCATTTTCTGCTGCTCCCAGGGTTCGTTCCCAGTCCCTCTCTCGGTGCTGGCGCAGGGTCCGTTGAGGATTCCTTGGGTTCTGGTCCCTGCGCCACCCCGCCCCATGAGAGCGGAGGAGCCGGTTCCATCCGTGCTTCCTCCCATGTCCTGGGACCGGGGTTCGAGTGTCGTGTCAGTTTCGGAGCTGAGAGTTCCTTGGGCTCTTCCCTTCCTGCGGCATCTGTGGCTCAGCCTCCCACCGGGTCGGGGTTCGACTTCTCTTCACGAGGAGATCCGAATTCTGACTCGGGCTCGGGTGCCGAGTATATGGAGGTTGGGGAGGTCGAGGAATCCAAGGGTGCTTTCCGTTTTTCGTCGGCTCTCCTGGAGTTTAGGCAACGTATTGCCCAGTGTATTCCCCAAGCCGCGGTGCCGACATGTAGCTCGGACTCGACTGAGTTCCGCCTCAGACACAGCTCCGCATCTTGCCCTCCCTGGTGCAGGATGTCATGGATCCTCTCCTGGTTGGTTCTCGCCTCAGATTCGATCTCCCCAAACTCGTTAAGAGGTATCAGCTGGGTGATGATTCTCTGTTCCTTGTGCCGGTGGTGGACGAGTGTGTATTCACTTCGGTCGCCCTCGGGGGAGGCTCAGCTTCCTCGGGTGCAGCCCCGGCTGCCAAGCAAGGGCGGTTAGCACCACCGTTTGCCCAGTCGGGCGCCCCCCTGCGGCAGGCATACTGGACTTACGAGGAAGTCTACCAGAATGCCATGCAGAACGAGGCGTAACTTTCCTCGATACAAAGGTCAGCTCTGGTGGTGGAAGGGAGCACTGGTGACGTTTCCCCAATTGTTGTTCTTCTCCGCCAACTATCCAAGGTTCAGGCCCACCTGATGCGAGACTCTTTACACCCGAGTCTGCCGGCTGGCTTCAGCCGCTGGGTAGAGGTAGGAGGAGGCGTCCCGCCAAGGGTAAGAGCAAGGAGCAGGCCTTTTCGTCTGGCTCCCAGCAGCCTTTTCGCGGTCGTGGGGGGTCTGCCCCGACCTCCCATTAAACCTGCCGGCTGTATCCGTGGGTACATCCCAGCCAGTTCATCTGCAGGGGACTACTCGAGCACTCTTACCACACATCCCAGTGGGAGGCCGCCTCTCTCTATCCCTACCGGAGTGGGAGAAGGCTACACGCAACACTTGGGTGCTATCCACCGTCAGTGTCGACCATCTACCGCTGTGGAAGCGAGGCCCGCCAGAGTACACCAGCATAAGGCGCACTCCAGTGCCATCATGTCTGGTCAAGGTGGGTATACTGCGCGATGAGGTTCAGGCTTTGCTTGACAAGTCCGCAATAGAGCGCATACAACCGGGCGTGGAATGGCGGGGTCTTATTCCACGTACTTCTTCGTTTCGAAGAAGGACGGCGGGTTCCGACCCATTCTCAACCTCAAGGGGTTGAATCGCATGTTTGAGATTTCATCATTCAAGATGGAGACACTTCGCTCAGTAATCTCCTCTGTTCACCCTGGCGATTGGCTTACGTCGATCGACCTAAAGGATGCGTATCTACATGTGCCAATTCATCCCTCGTTCAAGCAGTACCTCCGGTTCTCTTATGACGGGATGTGTTACCAATTCACGGTGCTCCCCTTTGGCATATCCACTGCCCCCAGGGTGTTCAGCAAGCTCATATTAGTGCCAGCTACCCTCGCAAGGTCGCAAGGAAGGCATTGTTACCCTTACCTAGACGACTGGTTGCTCAGCGCTCTAACTCAGCCAGCGAGCCTAGATTCTACCCACATGGTGATAGACATTCTAGTTCATCTGGGGTGGATCATCAACCTCAAGAAATCTGACCTGGTACCCACCCAGGACTTGGTTTTTCTCGGGGCGCAGTTCACAACTCTACAGGGTCTTGTCTCTTTGTAGCCCGACCGGGTCAACAGAGTATAGGAGATGGTGTCTTTGTTCCTCTCCCAGCCCCAGGCACCAGCGCAGACTCGGCTCCGTCTACTGGGTCATATGGCGGAGGATCTGGAGAAGTGTCTCACGGTCCCCTGGTGGTTGTGTCCTCACCTTCAGTGGTGGACCCAAGGGGGTCCCTTTGGAAATCCCGACGCCAGCTCTTACAGTTCAAACCGATGCGTCCCTCACGGGCTAGGGGGTGTTATGGGCAGTCTGTCGGTGTCCAGACTCTGGTCCGAAGCCGAGGCCCGCCTTCACATCAATGTCTTAGGACTGAGAGCTGTGCGGTTGGTACATCCTGAAGCAAGGCGGCACGGTGTCCCTAGCTCTCTTCCGGGAGACGTGGGAATTTCTCCTCTGGTGCGACCAGTGCGACTGTCAGGTGCTTCCTGTTTATCTCCCGGGGCTGGAGAACGTGCTAGCAGACGCTCTCTCTCGCCGGATCCTGGCCCCGCACAAGTGGATGTTCGACTGGCAGATATTCGGAGTTATCTCCCAGTTGTACGGATCGTTCCAGGTGGATCTGTTTGCGTCAAGGTGGACGAATCAGATACCCGTGTTCTGCTCTTGAATACATGACCAGATGGCGTTGGCTTCCGACGCCTTTCTGCTGGATTGGACGGGCAAGGTGCTGTGGGCGTTTCCGCCTCTACAAATCATTGCCCGGGTCCTCTCCCAGCTGTCCACCCAGCCAGCTCGGCTACTTGAGCTACTGGCACCGCTTTGGCCGTCACAGAGCTGGTTTCCAGTAATTCTCAGGTTCCTGGCTCAGCCTCCTGTTCTATTACCTTTGCGACCGGACATTCTCACTCAGAAAGGTGCGCCATACCCCAATCCAAGGATTCAGTGGGTGGCTTGGCCTCTGTCAGTTCTAGCCTCAAAGCACGCAGAATTCCTGCAGCAGTTGCAGACACAATTCTGGCTTCGAGGCGGGATTCGACAAATGTTCAATATGAGGATAGGTGGTCCCGCTATGCATCCTGGTGTTCAGATAGGGGAATTGCAGACCCCCTTTTCAGCGGATTTAGTCCGAGTAGTGGAGTTTCTGCAAGCTCGTTTGGAAGAAAGCTTGGCAGCTTCGACCATTCGTGGCTACTCCACCGTTATTTCCACTTTTCACATCCCTGTCGATGGTGCTCTTCTGGGGCAGCACCCTCTTATGCAGCGCTTCTTGGCTGGCGTGGATCGGGTTCGACCTGCTGTCAGGCGTACCAGCCCACCTTGGGATTTGCCAATCGTGCTAGATTGGCTGTCCGGTCCTACTTTCTCACGTCTATTGGCTATTTCCATTCAGTTGTTAACATGGAAGGCCGTATTTCTGGTGGCGGTAACATCTGGGCGAAGGGTTGGCGATTTACATGCTATGTCAGCAGACCCGGCGCTGACTGTGTTCCATCCAGATCGCGTCAGTATTCGCCTCCCGGATACTTACCGCCCGCCCGAAGATCGATCACGCTTTCCATGTGACAGCTCCTATCAAACTTCCTACTCTAACCCAGCCTTCCACATCGGGGACCTCTGCAACGAGCACTCACCCGTTGGATGTCCGTAAGACCCTCAAGGTCTATATCCAACGAACACAAGGGATCCGTACGGGTACCCATCTGTTCTGCTGTTACGGTGGCAGGAAGGCTGGGATGCCAGCTAGCAAACAGACCCAATCTCGCTGGCTTGTTTCGGTCATTTGTGCTGCTTATCAGGCTAAGGGCAAGCCTCCCCCTGAGGGGTTGAAGGCTCACTCGGTCAGGGCAGTGGCCACTTCAAAGGCTTTTGCATCGGCACTGCCCATTGAAGAGATATGCTCTGCCGCTATTTGGAGCAGGTCTAGCACTTTTATAAGGCACTATCAGCTTGATACACATTCTCGTTGATCGAGCGCGTTTTGGCCGTTCTGTTCTCTCCAGTGGACAGTGTCCTGCCACCCTGACCGAGTGGGTCTTGGTTATCTGGACAGATGAGGCTGTTTTCAATTGTGTATAATTGATATATCCGCTGTTGTCATATCTAACTAATTTCGATTTCTCTCAATGAGATACTAGTCGGTTGTCAGTTGGTTTTCCCCCTTATGGTGGCTCTTTATAGATTTCACAATGTGGGCGGGGTTTTCATTTCGCACAGTGTGAGAACTGTTTTGCTTAACTTGTGAGGTCGGGTCTCAGTACATTCCTCCCTGTCGGTTACCCTCTCATCATGCCTCTCGCGGAAGCTTCGGGATACGTGACAGGTGAGTGTTATGGCGTCAGTTACTTTCTTCTTAACGATCGCTATTTATGTGTACTTTGACAGAATTCCCTCCTCCCTAGCCTCCAGTCTTTGGGAGTCTGAGTTAATGCATATATGTACCCCAAGGACGATCTCTATGATAAAGAATTAGATAAACCTGTAGAGGTTTCCCATTCTTTGAAGAGAATCGTCCTTGGGGTAGGGCCACCCACCTCCCCGCAATTCTGTTCACTGATTTGTTCAGCAGAAGGAATGATGATACGGACCTGGGTGCTTACCTGGTTGGCTGTGCATGCGTAGCAGGGGGGTAACTCCACATGGTGGATGCTGTATAATAAATAAAAAAGATTTTATTTATTGTACAATATTTTTATCAAAACATTGATACAACTGTCACATGACATTTTCAGCCGCAGAAAATGCATATATGTACCCCAAGGACGATTCTCTTCAAAGAATTGGAAACCTCTACAGGTTTATCTAAATTTTTAAGTTAATCTTACATTATAGAAAAAATTGCAATTTTTTTAATAGTATTAAAGATGTTAAACATGTGTATTATATACAGAGGATATTTTATGAGTGCCCGTGTCATACTATGTTTATAACATGAGGGCCTAAATGTTGGTATTTCCAGAGCGTGAGCGAGGGATATACCGATATTTAGGCACGAGTGTCGTAAACATAGTATAATATTGGCACGAATGTAATGTTCTATTTATTACCGAAGTCATTAAATTGAGGAAAATTAAACCAAATCTACTTTCAAACATAGGAAGCCTACCTGTCAAAGGCAACGTCATAGAAGGAACGTGACATCATAGAAGAAACGTGACGTCATAGCATTGTTCATGACGTCACGTCACCATGACAAAGTGATATTTTTCTTAGGGCATCGTATGGAAAATATGAACCCCGATACTTTCGCCCTCGTAGGTAATAAAAATATAAAAGCCTTTTTCTTTCCGTAGAAGAAAAGGCGCTGGTTACTAACATCAAGACACTTTGTGTCTTGTCAGTGATGTCATCGTTGAATATTGAATGCAGGTGTTAGTCTGGATTGTAGATCTTGTGTTTGTTGGCAGCTGAAGAAGGAGAGAGAAGAAGAACTGGAGAAACAGAAGGCAGCTGCAGAGGCTGAGAGGAAGAAGAAGGAACAGAGGAAGATGGAAGAAGAGGGACCACGTGTTTTCAAGAAGGGTGTCGGGAAATATATCAATATGTCTACTCTGTGAGTGTTGACTTTAATTTTAAACAGTTGTCAGTAGACATTGTTACGGTTAATAAATTGCCGTGACAAAAGATTTAAGAATCCCCTTTGAACCAGCAAAATATAACACAGACAAGTCTAAAATATTCAATAATATATTGAGCACACAATGAGCAAGCTACAATGAATCACAATACAGATTTCTAGTACAATGCAATTGAGTCACAAATCTAAAGTATTGGGTCACATATAACATATTAACTCACCAGAGTAGTGGTAACCACAGTGAGATCAGATATTCTAAATGGAGCTTGTTTACAAATGAGAGCAGTCAGGCACGAAGTGTCAGGGTCAGACGATGGCGATGTGACGAAGGACGAAGGCAAACAACGATAGGCAACTCCAGTGATATCGAAAGTCCTGTGTAATTCCGTGTGTTAGTCCGTGTGTCAGTCCTTATGTGTCACACCACATAACAGCCAACCTTTATATACACTGACACAGATTCTCGAACTTTCAAGCAAAGCATGGCTGTATCATTAACCACTTAGATCTTTCTCGAAACGTGTTGAACATACAACATGACGATGTCAACACATAAACATCCGGTCAAGGGAGGTAACTCTGGAGCGCGCTATCATAAAGGCGTGCCGCTAAAATACTGTTGCCACTGAACATATATGACTCGAAATGTGACCCACAACCAACACTCAAAACTTTAAACATTGTGACTCATAGTTATTATCACCTAACCAATGTTATTGCAAATTACAAAAAACACACCCTCGTAACAACATGTTTTGGGGGTATAATGTTGAAAGTTTGTTCTTAAAGTGATGTGTCAGTGAAGAACATTTGTGAGATATTCCAACTGTTTGTTCAAATTAGAGGTTTTTAATTAAGATTTGACACCTGTAAATTAAATGTTCATTCAAACCATATTGTGACAAATGAAAATTATACATTGATAACAAATATATTTAACAGTTTAAAAACCTGTCGTCGAAGGACAGTAGAACAACTAGATTATTATATATTCCATCTACATAGCGTTAGAGAGCAAAGCTTGATAGTGTATGTTCCCTTATGTTTGATGCTGTGTTGATGGTACTGAATTTGACAATACACTTTTTTATTCTATTGTGTGAAGTTTTCGATATACATATTGACACAAGTTGCTTACATTGCAAACACATTAGGAGAAAGCTCAATACCTGAATTACGTTACTTGTAGGTTTGTAAACAAAGCGAAGGATTCTAGAATGTTGAATATTCAACTCAGGCATTCGATTCTTGTCTTTCAGTCAGTCAGTCAGTTATACTCTTTAGGCTTGAATGAATTCCATATCTCCATAGAAACTAGCAGACATTTATTGCATGGCAGTGACATGGTGTGTTTCAGTAAGCGAAGTAAGGATGATGAAGATGTGTCATCAGGAACTGTCAAGAAGAAGAAGAAGGCGGAAGGATCCTACTCATTTGGGGACTTCAGTGCCTGGTGATGTCGCAGGGGGAGTGTTGGTGATGTCGCAGAGAGTGTGTTGGTGATGTTGCAGAGAGTGTGTTGGTGATGTTGCAGGGGAGTGTTGGTGATGTTGCAGATGATGGGTGCTGATGTAGCTGGAGGCATGTCAGGGATTTTGATGGAGGCATGTTGGTTATGTGCAGGAGGCCCATCGACTATGGTGCAGAAGGCTTGTTGGTGATGTTGCAGAGGATGTGTAGGCGAGATACCAGATGTGACGGTGGTGTTGCAGAGTGAGTGTCGGTGATGTCGCAGGAGACAAGATACAATGACAGATTCACAGATACAAGATTCTTCAGATCAGAGTCAGATAACGTGAACCTTCAGGTTTTGTAAGACCACCGTATCTCTTCAAGTTCTGTGTATTTTCAAGGGATAAAATTTTAAATCATTACATGAGTTGAGGAATGCAGCTGTATTTTCATAATGGTGACTAATAGTGTTATTGACCAATAGAACCAAAACATTTCAGAACAGGATCCCCTGACCAGAAGTTGCACCAGTAACGGGTCAATTCACTCCATTTATGTTCTAATGAAGGGGGCGGTGGGGTAGCCTAATGGTTAAAGCGTTGGCTTGTCACGCCGAAGACCCGGGTTCGAATCCCCACATGGGCACAATGTGTGAAGCCCATTTCTGGTGTTCCCCGCCGTGATGTTGCTGGAATATTGCTAAAAGTGGCGTAAAACTAAACTCAGTCAGTCAGTCAGTCAGTCAGAAGTTGCACCAGTAACGGTTCCATTCACTCCATTTATGTTCCAATGAAGAGGGGGCGGTGGGGCAGCCTAGTGGTTAAAGCATTTGCTCGTCACTCCGAAGACCTGGTTTCGATTCCCCACAAGGGTACAATGTGTGAAGCCCATTTCTGGTTTTTCCCCCCCCCTCCTGATGTTGCTGGAATATTGCTAAAAGCTGCATAAAACCATACTCAGAGCTCAATACATTTTTACTGAGTTGTAATTATGGTTGTTACTGTAATAAATAGCCATAGTTGAACAATTTTTATTTTTCATATTTGTAGCAATTCAAAAATGGTACGAAAGTGATATTTTTATCATGCAGGGGGATATAGTCGATGCCTCGTCCGTCTGTCCGTCTGTAATCATTTTGTTTCCGGAGCATAACTCAAAAACCGTTCAATATTTTCAACAAAACTTTGTAGATATATCAAACAGAACCTACAGTGGTGCCTTTTGCTATTTACAGATTTTTGTCATTTTGGGGGTTTCCATGGACATATTTTGGACTCTGAAAAGAAAGGATGGGCTTCGTTTCTGGAACACAACTCAAAAAATGTTAAATATCTTTCTACAGGACTTGGTAGATATATCAAAGAGAAGCTAAAGGGGTGCCTTTTGCTATTTCCAGGTTTTTGTCATTTTTAATTTTCTTGGTTTCCATGGAAACGTTTTTGACTAAGTGTCAAAAGGGAGGGGTTGTGTTTCCTTTCAGGATCACAACTCAAAAGCGTTCAATATCTTTCTACAAGACTTGACAGATAGATCAAACAGACCCTGAAGTATTGCCTTTTCCTATTTGCAGTTTTTTGGCATTTATGTATTTCATCATTTCCATGGAAACGATTTGGACTTTAAGTAACTGTCAGATGATTTGTTCTTTCAAATTTAGCGGGGGTGGGTGGGGGAATTTGTCATTGTTCTCTATTGTGCCCTAGATTTCTTAAAACCATTTTATCTAAAGTCAGTTGGTAGATTTGGGTCAGATTTTCATGCGAACAAAAGAATGCTGAAGGATTGCGACATCCACTAATTCTGAATGTACATAAAGTCTAGCCTCTGTCCACCATTGTCCATATGTATATAGATGTCATTGTGTAAATAAACATGTACATTTCACAGTCTGTCTTTCCTGTGTTGTTGCTATGTAAACTAAAAATGCATGAAATGATTTAGGTAGGAAGTAACAAATGTTTACTGTACATCTGGACACTCGAGTTAAGAAAAATTGCAAACAGTGAGTGAGTGAGATAGTGAGTGTTGCTTAATGCCTCATCAGCAATTTTGCAGCTATTTGTGTCGAGAAATGTCCGTTATTTTCAGTATTTTGAACGCAGCAAACACGACAACAGTGGGTGGGTTCACTATGAAGATGAAAATTCACAAAGTTCAAGGTCATGAGAAATCTTGTGTGTCGGCCATTGCATCTTTGTGTCCATGGTGGAAATGGCGGTACTGACATGCACCGGGGACTTGAGCTATGTTGAAATAGTTCGAACATAATAAGTAGTGCTGTAACGATGCATTATTTTATCGATGGATTGCAGTTGTTGTGTCTCCCAGAGCAAATAATCAATGATAAAAACTAAAAACTATCGATGTACCATCTATCGATAGTATGTGGACCAGATTCGTTCACTTTGATTTAATTTGATCAGTTATCTGCCCCTGTTACCTCTGAAGCAAACATGGCATGCGACGATTATGCGAGTTTGACATTGTGAATAACAATATAATTAAATTATGTTTATGTTTTAACTGTTTACTTGATCTGGGTTTCAAGTTTCTTGTCAGTTATTAAAAGAGACTACTTCAACTACTACTTCTACTTGTTTTTATTTCATATAAACTATACATACATTTGGGAAATAACTTCTAATCAGAAAATTCAAGGACAGAAAAAATATTGCAGTAGTTGGTCGCAGCAGTTGTTTCCCCCCTCAATAGTCACCTCAAATAATATGCATAAATTTCCAACATATCTTATATACCAGTGTGTGATAGCTCAGATAGCTCATACAAGACTATGTTTAATAAAACAGAGGATGAGAAACCTACAGGTTCAAAAGACAGGCTAAGACCCTAACATTGATATTGTGTCAATATGACAGGTATTTGTGATTTCAAGTGAGTTGAAGGGAAACTTGGCCAAAGTAAATAGATCCCACTGCTTAACAATATAATTGAAGTAAATAGCGAGGATTGTATGATTTTTGATTGATTACACTGTTTGATAGTATCAGTCATATAATGTAAAACAGACACTCATATTCAAGTTTCCTAAACTAATAAAAATTACTGAAAGTTTTGTCTGTAACATATTTAGATGTGTATACATACACTAGTCGTCATTAATGAAGGGTCAAATGATATATAGCACATGTAAAGAAAAGTTTCTAGAACTAAGAGTGTCATCATAATGATTGGCATAGGTGACACATTGTGACATACAGGCAAAACGTTCAAACAGCTCTAGCAAATATCCATTGTATAGACCACAACCCCCCCAAAAAAATAATTAATATGACAAACACGAAGCACTCTGTCATTCAATATCTTGTGTACCCTCCTCGTGCATCCAAGACAGGTGTAGCTTGTTCTCCTGCTCCTTATAAAGTTCACAAAGCAAGTTTGCGGAATCGCATTCTATTCCTCTACTAGAGCTGTGCGTAGTCCTGGGAGATAAACTGGTGCTGGGTGACGTGTGTACACTCTGTTGACCGAGTTCATCCCAGGCTTGCTCGATTGGGTTCATGTCTGGTGAGCATGCTGGCCACTCCATCCGCTCTACACTAAGGAATTCCGTGACAATCATGGCCCTATGGGGCCAAGCGTTGTCGTCTTGCAGAACAGAGGGTCGACCATGAAAGCCATGCAAGCCATGCATAACTTGCAGGAATGGTTCTGCTGTTGGAGCCAGAATCTCGTCCAGATAACGCTGTCCGGTAAGATTACCGTCGACAACGTGCAGTGGAGTACGTCCAGTAGGAGTTATCCTGCCCAAACCAAGACCGACCCACCGCCAAATCGGTTATGCGTGGCCACAGTTGCATCTGTGATTCGCGCTCCATTGCGACGATAAATCCTCTGCCGACCATCACGGAAGGACAAATTGAATCTGCTTTCATCTCTGAAGAGCACACGAAGATCATTGACGTTGATTCCAACGGCCATGATATCTACTCCATCTCTCATCTGCCTGTGACGTGGTGTTAGAGGTGGACGAACTGCAGGTCGCCTACAGCGGATTCTGGCTGCCATTAAACGTCGACGAACGGTGCTTCTGGATATCCTTACATTGTCAACAATGAAATGTTCTGTCTGAAGATCTGCGGCTTTAAGGAATCTGTTACGGAACGCAGTGATAATCATGTGCCTATCATCTCGGACTGTTGTGACTCCGGGGCGACCTGGTCGACGTGCATATTCTACGAACCCATTGGCTTGAAATCTCTGCCACGGTCTACCAACAGTACTCTGACTCACATAAAAGTGAACAGCAGCCTGCCACTGATTTTGACCAGATGCCAAAAGGCCTATATCCTGATCCCTTTCAGCAAGTGTCGAACAACGTCTCATTTTAAGCTGCATGTGTATTGTCCTCCACTTTCCATGGACAGAGCGACTTGCACGTGCAAATCCTTGACATTAAGTGGCGGGTGGATTTCCATATTGACAACTGGAATAAACAATGTGCCATCTGTAACAGAATGTATCGGACGTTAAAGAAGGTAATAATGACATTTCAAGGGCCTGATGTGTTTTTCCATACTGTTAAGGAGTTTGTAAAACATTCAGTTGTATATTTTTCAAACAAAAACGAAGATTTTACAACTTTTAAGAAATAGTGTTACCAATAGCTTGACCTTTCATTAATGGTGGACAAAGAGTTAGAGTGCTTCATATATAGTGTTTCAAAATCATTCAACATGTAAAGGTTGAAATATACTGGTATACAATGACTGAGACCTCATTCACAATGAAGGTACAGAGGCATGCAGTCATGATGTCTGGGATGTGCTTGGCAACCTTTCGTGACAAAATCATTGCGCGTCACAACAATATTTGTTACTGAGGACTTCCGGTTGCGCATGAAACCCATGAAGAGCTCTCCCAACCCACGGATGATTTGGCTCAACTGTAGTCTCTAAATTTTGTCTAAAGTCTCCAACAAAGTATTATATTATTTTCAAACAACTGTTTAATGAGTTTCTCTATATTACTCCCTTTCTCCGCCAAAATGTTTTCCCCGTCAAATTTAATTTCCCGCCAAAAGGAGCGATATGGTTTATCTGTTGTTATGTGAGACAAGCTGTTCTCTTCATGTATGTGCAGGGGCGGATACAGCTTTTTGAGAAAAAGGGGTGCACACTACTGAGAAAAGGGAGGGTGCACACTTCATTTTCACCAGAGTTTCAATGGTCATTTAATAAACTTTCAGGAAAAAAGGGGGG